ACAATATCTTTCGCAAAATGAAAAGGTAAAAGTATTGTAGTATCCATTGATTGCAAATGCAATACAGAAGAGCGTTGGAAAGACATTTGATCATCTCTCGATCATGACCTGGGGAGTTGTTGAGTGAGTAATTATCCCCTGAAATGATGGTTGGCTATTCAATCAAGTAACCGACACCGACTCATGAAAAAGGACCCGATGATTTTCCGATAAACGCATGCGATTTTTCCATCCCAAAATTTTCTCGGCATTTTGATAGGAATTGATACTTCTTGCACGGAAGTTTCAACGCACGAAAACTCTTTACAAGGACTTCCATACACACTGATTATTTGTACAGGATTGTTCAAAGCGTTAGCGGTATGTTATCGCAGCTGCTACCCCTACAAGGGGACTCGAGAACTACCTAGTAGTCACAATCTACTGCACCAGGGTCATAACGATCCAAACCGATTCATCATTCCGTTGATGATTTCGCCGAAGAACTGCCCAAGTTGTTAGCAGCATGAATCGCCATCATGGCATCATGGCATCGTGGCATCATGCTAGGTGATAGACTTGTCTTCCCAATTTTAGATTCTTTTTCGGTGATATGGTTTGGGTCGACTCGGGTCTACCTACGACTCTTGCTATGCTAATAAAGAACCACTGCACACACGATTCAGTGTCTCGTTTCAAAGCACATTTTCTTTTAGATTTATCAATATTTAACGCAGCCATATTGATCACATAATCAGTGGTTCCAGATTCTGCCGTTGAATAAAAAGAAGAAGAACCTTGATGGATATTCCTAGTTTGTTCAACAACGACTCTAATCTTTAATTGGGAAAATAGTTTTTGGATCAGGATATGCAAACAAGACTCCTCGATTTCAAACAAAAAAAAGTCGACATTCTCTCTAGCTTCACGAATACGTATTGAATTGGCCATGGCAGACGTCAAACCTTATTCGGCGCTCATGAATATGCCACCAGAAATCAGGGTTATGATATATGAATACCTTTTCAACGATTACAACAACAAAATTTTCGAAATCCGCAACCAAAAACCATACGCCTATAGCCAACGCCGTGACGGACCCGTCCGTTCCCTACGGTCTTCTTACAGTGTCGATTTTTCTCCTTTGCGGCAACGGCTCCAGACGACATATGAACTATGCACTGCCGTCGACATACACACCTCTATAATGAGCGTGAATCGGAAGATATATGAGGAAACTTTACCGATGTTGTATTGCAATCGAGCATTCAGTTTTCATAAGGACATTGAGGCCATTGTTCCCTTCTTTTCCGACCTACATCCCAGTACACGACCTCTAGTACAAGAGATATCTCTTTTCAAACAAGGTTTCATCTTTTCTCTTGAATCGAATCGATGCGATTGGAACAATCTTTGTAAATTTCTGAGAGATCATATGCAATTAAAGGGATTGAAATTAATAGTCGAGGGAGGACAACCAAGAGGCGAACGGGAAACAAGACAGTACACACCGTCGGACTTTAAGACTTTAACAACTCATTCAAACGAACACTTCGTATGGGTTTCCCAATTGTTGGAAATCAAAGGTATCCAGAAATTGGATATCACTTCTGAGATGCAATCTATGCCCTCGTCGAATCACTCTTCATCTATGGCCCTTTTTGTCGCATTCTCTGCTTCAATCATGAATGGATTTGCCGAGTACTTGCGACGAGAACTCATTGGTGTATAATTACTATACGTATGTCCCTGGCATCAGTTTACGGTGTAAGCATTGTTGTACGAAGGAGGTCAGATTTTGACGTTGATATCTGGGCACTTTGATACAGTCATGCAGTGTCATCCTCAGCTGCATGCTGTCAGATATCACTCCGGATGAACTGGTTATACTTCCGTCTCTCGAGGTACAAACAAATTATTGGTTTCTTATTTGTCTCTTCGTGTTATGCGTCAAGGAAATGTATTTCCCTTACGTGGTGTCCAGGCTTGGCTATGCCTCTATATAAACAGTTGGATTTTCATTAATATAAAACATTCCTCAATTTTATTACTTGACTTCTCTTCATTTATATATCATATCATCTTTATTCTTTATCTGAACACACATAAGAGATAACGTTTTAGGACGTCAAATTGGCACCCCTATTTACCAAACAATTACGCGCATATCCATCAGTATTATTGTGCAATATTAGTTTAAAGTTTCCTAACATATAGATACGAAATCCACATACGATCGAAGTTGTTATCAGGACTTGTCAAACACTAAGCGTATCACAAATCTTCGAAATCAACGCTTCAACATAATCCTATTTTGGATACACCGACTACTCAAAACACTCAAAATTCCAAAAGCCAACAGTCCGGACATCATACCCCTTGTCAACTTCACCGGTATTCCGCCCCTGCATTACCCGAAAATGACATCCAAGTCCTATCTTCTCGAGAACCCATCAAGGTATCCGGAGTTATCCACCTTATCCATGAATATTTTCTACGCTCAAAAGAATAAAGATATAAAGCAATGTAAAAGTAATTGTCGAAATATCGATGTCGATATTCTTTATCCTCCTTCATATCCTTTCAATTGCAATTCTTCTAAACAATCAAACAGGGATACAGAATTGAGAGAATCCATGTTGTTCAGCCCTGTGGATACCCTAGCTCTTTCTGAGTATTCATCACATGATTTTTCCTCGCCAATCAACAATATCAATTCATTGGCCAATCCATCATTCCCCTTTCTATCTTTACCCATAGAAATCCGTCTCAAAATCTATCTTCTCCTCCTTCCACCTCGCCACCATAAGATTGCAACACAAATCCCACATAATGGATACTACTTCCCACTCAAGTGCTTACCTCCATGCGCAGCTCAATCATTCTATCCCATCTCTCCAGATACCCCTGAAAAGCTCACCACTTACAAAGTCCTCTCGGCTAATTCCCACACCGACCATCCCAATCCAAGCATCCACACGCGTATCCTAAGTGTATGCAAACAAACCAAAGCAGAAGCCGAAGAAGTGCTTTATGGAAATGGAAATAGCATCTGGGATTTCGGTATGCATATCGAAGCTGTACAACCTTTTTGGACGGACAGAAGTCAGGCCGCGCGGGGATGGGCTCGAAATTTGAAGATCGCGAGGGAGATTCCGGATTTGATGATAGGTGCTGCTGCTCGTATTGATGTGGTTTGGAGAAATTTTTGTGAATTTATCACGTGTGAATTATTGGGATTGAAGAATGTAGATTTGACGGTTTGGGGAAACCCGTGGGTGGAAGAAGCGCTGGATAGTTCTGAAGCCGGCGAGACGGATGCGATGTCGATAGATGGAGATGGTGTGGGAGAAGTACGCAGGTCGACAGTGAAATCGAGAGATGTGTGGACGATGCGCGATCGGGAGGATATGAAAGAATTACTCGCGCATGATGGGTTGAGGAGTGCGAAAGTGACGTGTTGGGGGTTTAGAGAGGGGACGAAAAGTTCCTGGGCCAAGTGGATGTTGGAGAGTCGGTCGTTGATGGAGGAGATGGTTAGGGAGGGGGAGGTGGTGCAGGGGGTGGTGATTTGGAATGGGGGTGGTTGTGGAAGTGGGAGTGGGAGTGGGAATTGAGGGTTTTAGGCGAGGGGGAGAGGGGGAGAGGTTTATGAAATGACGGGTTTCGGTGGAAGATGGAAGTAATTACACTAATTTATAATTTGATACCACATGCTAGCTATACTATTCTTTCACATTTCTCATTCATATCCATTTGCCCCAGCTTCTCCCACCCCGAGATTAGAAGATGAAGATATCATCTAGAGTCTCAAAGTATATCTATCACATCACACTTAAATCGTTGTCTACTCAGAATCAACACCCCATACCTACACATACAAACACCATTTACAAATTACACCTATCTCATCTAGAAATCCCTAGAAGTATCAAAAGTGAAAACCATAATAATACCACAACATCGCCACTTCCAATTCCAACTCCAACTCCAACTCCAACTCCAACTCCCAATTCCCAATTCCAAAAGCTAAAATTCCACACTTAATAACAATCACACAATCACACAATCACATAATCACCCAATCCCTCCCTCTCACAAATAGCTACCTACCTATCTACCTATCTACCCATAACCCTAAGCCCCTCACCTTTCCACACTCTCACACTCATCGATAAGACAAAGCCCAAGAAAACTATTTCTTCCCTCTCTAATCTAAATCTCCATCTTCGAACCCCCAACCTTCAAATCCGTTCATCTCACAACCTCCCCATTCTCCAACCAGCTGATCTCAAAACCCCCTAATCTCCAAATCGATAACCAATCGCCAAATTCCATACCTTTGAACCCAAATATCCCTATATCTTTGTATCCCTTGTTTGAAAATCTATGTATCCTACAACTCCATCCCATCCACAGCTCCATCCCATCCTCCATCCCCCATCAAATTTCCAAATTTTCAATTCTCCTCTCTCCTCCCCTCCCCTCTCAAAATTCCCAAACACAAATTCCAAATCCGCGCCTCAAAATCTAAAATCTAACCACAAGCCAATCACACGCGAAATAATAAGAAGCTAACAAAGAGAATATATCACAAACTGTACGATAATGGATAGTACTTGGTGCACTTAAAATTTCACTGTTTTCTGGGGCAGGGAGTGAGGGGGATGAATGAATAAATAGATAGATGTAGTTGATTGGTTGAAATACTCCAGGTAGGGATATTACATTATTATCAATGAATGGATGGGTAGATAGATGAACGGATGCAGCAATCATAATATAGAAATCTGTGTGTAATTCTCGCTTCGATGTGTAGATATACCACCCGCATGTATGTGTGAGAGAATGATACCCATAACCACCATCCGATCAAACTTTACGAGTTGGCGTGTGATGTTTTTCTTCAAGAACCCATTCTGCAGAAACATCCACATTTCACATTTCCACTGCAAACTTCGAACCCATATATTCATCGCTCACCCCTCACCCCATACCCATACCCACAGCCCCAAACCCCCCTAAGCCTTCTCCGCCTTCTCCCTATCCTCCCTCTCCTTCTCCTTACAACTAATCAATCGTCCAACCACCAAATACTTCTCCTCAAATCTCTCCTCCCACCCCCTCAACGCCTCCAACTCATCCGCATCCAAATCCTCCAGGGTATCCAACTCCCCCTGCAAATCCTCCGTCAACATCTCCGCATCAAAACTTCCCTTCGCCAATCCCCGACTCGCATCTCTCCCGGCAAAATTCTCATACGGGCCACCTGGTCCGTAAAAATTCCTTCCATTGCTAACATCGAAGACGCGGCCGCGTACCGAGAGATACACGGGTGTGTTGTTGAGGCCGGAGAAGGGAACGAGCTCTGGGGGTGTAAAGGTACGGAAGACGATGGGGGATGGAGCGCTGGGAATAGGGACGGCCTTTTTGGGGCGGAAGGTTGTGTAGGTGAGGAGGGCGAGGAGACTGAGGAGGAGGAGGTTGATTGGGGTGGCTAGGCTGGCGCTGGGAGGAGTTAGTGAGAGTTTGGGATTTGTTTGGTGTGCTGATTTGATGGGGTGAAATGTTGAGATGGGGGAGTAACATACACTTCTGCACCGGCAGGTCTTTGGGCTTCTGTATTGATATGATGATTAGCGTTTTGATTCCATACTGATATTTCCTGGCATGAATGATACGCTTTCATCAATTCAACCTAATTTCAAACAAACAAGGCTCCCAATCCATCTCCTCTCTAACAACACAGCACACAAAATAAATCCATCAAGAACATACCAGCAGCCATTCTCTTCTCAACGTAATCCATAATTGCCCTTCTAAACTTCTATCTCTCTTCTCAAGAACCAGTAATCGTAATATTCTCTCGTGCTTGCTATATATCTCAAGCCGTTCACCGCAATACAATCAATAACCGTAAAAGCAAATCGAAAATTCCACACTGAATAAGACCGTCGTCAAAATTGAAACCAACAAAACACAATATTCATTGACGTTGATAACGCAAATAATGATTTCAAATATCACATTCGGAATTGGAAAGTCGAAGCTTCGACCTCACATCAGCTCGGAAATCGCGGGGAATATGATAGGTGGTTGTCCGTGTATCACGTGCAAATCTCCGGAACGCGGAAGCTCACCGGACCGGTAGTCTGAATGAGGAGTGAGCTCGTGAGTAGGTGATCTGTGCCAAGAACGCAATGATATATTCTTGATACAAATCCATGTACAGCGAGAATACACAGCCTCTTCAATTGCAAATATAGGAAATTAATGTATATGCGATTCGATTTCGTAAAGATTAAAATTCATTGATAGTTTGATAAACCAAATCGCTTGGTATTCTATGATACAATGCAAGATTCCGGGATAAATTCTCCTCAACAGCAAGATTTCGAGATCAACGAGAAGCTGAATAGATCTACATCTCCAAACCCGATTTATGAAATAAAATGAAACATGATGTGATGCGCCATAAAAGAAAAGTCCACGTAATCCTTTGGACATGTGAATCCAATGCAATAGGCGGAATTTTCCTTAACTCCAAACGATCCATTCCCTCGAAAAATTCCCTACATGTGCGCCTACCGAACTCCTAATTGCCTTGCTTTACCATTTGATATTTTCTGCGCCATAAAACCTGATTGCTCCCTTTTCCATCTCTGCTAGGTCAGACTTCACAGCCTAACCAGTAACTCTCCTAACCCATAACCCCGTTTCCTCATATCCGGCTTGCTTGTCTTTCCTCTTCCACGCCCTATGTAGTTTCAATCCACACTCATGTTCCTCCTTCCTAATCTCCGCTTCCTCCTCTCTCAATGTCTCAATTTGCTTCTTCTCCGTCTCCCTCTTCCTCCTCACTTCCTCCGTAACAATCATTCGATCCGCTGGCATAAGTTCCGTCATCTGTTTAATTGATTTTTCAATATTCTGTCGGCGATGTTTAAGAGCTTCGAGACGCGCTTCCAGAGTAGATATAGGATCAGACGATGCGCTTTCGGCAGGAGTGCTGGGGAGAGATTTTGTGTCAGTGGATGAAGAGCGCGGTGGGTGTTCGCGGGGAAGAGAAGAAGTCATAGAGATTGTTATTGGACTATTTGAGTTAATAGCTTTGCGAGTAATACTCTTCGTAGAATAAATAGACGCGCTATCATCAGCGATGACCTTAGGGCGCTTTCGAGATAGTATTGAAGTAGGTCCTTGAGTCGTCATAGTATAGGACTGAATTGGGAGTGGAGGATGCATCTCGTTTTGTATGTCAAGTGAGGGTGCTCTGGTAGATTGGGTAGCTTCTGAAGTGGCCTTTGTACTGACACTAAAGCGCGAAGGTGGCTGGACGTATGGTTCGTTTGGATCGATGGAAGGAAAAGAATTCTTGAGAGCTTCTCGAAAATTTCGTTCAATGGTTCCTGTGGAATCTGTCTTCGAATGCGAAGGATAATATGCGGTAGGGGATTCTGTAGTAATATCGCTGGTGAAATTTGTAAGGTGAGTCGCATGAATAGGTTCGAGGTTTTGAATCAAGGGTTCGTTATAGGTTTGTGGATTGTTTTGATCGCTGAACAATGGTCCTGCATTGATAGATACTGGGTCGGGTAGATCCATGAAACTTGGTGCCGCCGCCGTTTCACTATTTGCACTTCGGATGGAAGATACAGGGGTACTTGTGCCTGATGTAATGCGTCTTTCGCTCCTCGCTGGAACTGGAATTGGAATATTAAGTGGAGGAATGGTATAATCATCTGACGGTGCGGGCACGATTTTTGAACGTCCTGTTGCCCCCTTCCATTCTGGTTTCTCTACCGGCGCATTATTCTTCAATTTGCGAACACGTTCTCCAAAAGATGGCTGATTTTGGGGTTTCTGCGGACCGGCGCTAATGATTGATGTATTCCCCATCTGTCTACTATATCCCAAGTGAGGTGGTGAATATTCTCCTGGCTTGACAAATTGCGATTTTGCCTTTTCGCTTGTAGTTTCACCAGAATATGGATCCCATTTTCCATCCGCCGTTCTTCTAACCTTGGGCCCATCGACATCTTTGCGGTTTAATAAGTTGGCTGCTACTGCTGCGACTTGGTTTCGCCTCTTTTCTCTTCGCATGACAGGAATATTGCTCGATGGTGGCTTCAACCTGGAATCCGTCCTTTCTTTCGACTTCCCAAATCCAAGTTGCGAAATATCAGGTACTTCATCGATCGGAGAAACCTCATGATCTTGATATCGATTTGGGTTTCTACTTGAACTTTCATTAGTGTCTAACAATAAAATTGCGCCAATGAATTATGAAGCATGTAGCATCCTCAAAACATTCACAGATCGTTGGCCAGCTTTTCGAACCGAACCAACCCCAAGAGAACTATTTCAAAACTAATAGAAAACTTGACCTACCGTCGCATTCCATCAAACTCCGGAGAGCTTGGAGGTGATACCTCTGCTGAATTTGGAGTCATGGGTTTCGCATATGTATTATATGGAAATTGATCATGCATAGGGCCTAGAGAAGGCTGTGAGTAGACAGAAGAAACCGGTCTGAAATTATCGGAATTTTGGCGAGAATGCATGGGAGGAACTGCTTCACTGATGTAAACATTAGCAAATGCTTGGTGATTGCGTGAGAATGTAGATTTGACAGCGATATCATTAAGCTGAAACATAAGCCCAACATCCATTATCCCTCTTAATGATTCCCCTCAAAGTTCAACGCCCCCACTCTCAGAGTAATAGATAAACCTTGTGACCTACAATGGTAGAAGTGGTAATCCTTTTGGAGTATTTTCTCTTGTCGGTCTTGACGGATGAGGAGCATTTCTATCCGAAGATGACATATTTATATCAACATTTATTCCACCAGTCGCTCCGTAAGATTTCTCAAAAATAGTTGTCTCGACCAGTACAGGTTCACTGATGGACGATTGACGAGCTGTAGTACCACTACTCCTTGGGGCATTGAGACGTTTCCACATGATGTATTCTTGTGTACCAGTCCTGTATGATCTTCGCTAGGGACCGTGGGGTATGAAGGTGCTCTCGGAAGATCTTTGTCGCAAGTTGTTAAACAAATCCGGAGGGGAAATCTTGGAATGGATAGATCTAGATGCAATGTCCTTTTTACTCTATTTGAAAGCTTCTAGACTTTTGTAGCTGGAGAATTTCAGGTGTCCTCCACACACACAAGTTTTTTGATTTTTTTTGATATGTATCTCGTGTTCTCGTAAATAATTGGAAGGATCGTCACAGGATGCCGAAGGCTGTGCAAACTTGGTGGATACTATTAATTGTCGTTGAGTTTGATTGATAAAGTGTAAGAAGTGAAAGAAAGGGTGTACTGTTATACAAGTAAATACACAAGTCGTGTGAATTAGGAGGTGGGTACGGCGAATTAAGACAATTGTGCGGTGAATGGATTGCGCTCTGAATGGTAGGTACTGTTATGATTGACTGTGGGGAATTATACAAATGGAATCGAATAAACTGAATGATGGTGATGGATGATGGATGATGGATGATTCAAGGAATGAATTTCGCTGTTGACGCAAACCGAAGCATGAAGTTTCAAATGACTGGCAACGAGTAGAACGAATTGAATGTACTGTACTGGTGGCAAGAGGTGTGAGGAGTGTGCGAGGAATGAGTGTGATGAGTGAGTGGCTACCTATCGATGACCCAACATGAATGGCCGGTTGTGACAACCAATGAAGGACCAGCCTAATAACAATTATGGAGTGAAGCTTGAAAGGAGCGAGAAGATGATGGAGGGAATGGAATACTTGGATGAGAAGAGACCGAACCAAAATCAGAGCTCAGATCGTAAGGTCATTGTAAAGGTAGAGAGAGGTCCAGAGCATATATAAAAATTATTCCGAGTGAGTTGTTTTGACCAGAATCAGGTCTGTGTATCGATACCGTTCCCACAAACCGTCTGGATATCGACCAATGCTAATGAAAGACATCGTTCAATTTGATACTACTACCTCGTACACAAAAGGAACGTCTCTCTCGCATTCTCCCTCGTGACTGGTCAATTGTCATCTTGATAAAATTACAGTGTTCAGGGGGGTGGAGGGGGACATTCGAGTTCATAAGCAAACTTTTCGTTTCAGAATTCGAAAGGGTCATCGGTCATCGGTAGTGGAATGAGCCTGGTGTAATGGGGGTATACTACCTGCTTACCTAGGTTCTCCTGGGTAACTATCATAATTATAGAAGTGACAGATTCTTTTGATGGGGGGCCAAAGTGTTTAAGTGACATCTACATCGTAATCATCAAAGTGACCTAGAAAGGAGGACAGAAGAGCAAAGCGCGCAAGCTCAGCCAAGGGAAATGGAACTTCCCAGCCTTATTTTTAGCCAGGCCAGCCAGGAGACGATTAATCAAAACTTATACCCAAGCAAGTGTTCGTGGGCCGTGAGCCGTGAGCCGTGATGAAGTTCTATATTAGGGATCCATAAAATTCCATCATTAATCTTGCGGCTATATTATGTTACGAGTATATGCTACATCTACAATATTGTGATATATATATATCGTCATATCGAGTGTCCATCTAGGTCGGTAGCTGTATGCAGAATGATTCACATATGAAGGATGAGAAGGATGAATAATTTTTGGATACATACAAACAAGTATTCCGGTATCAATCATCAATATCAATATCAATAAAGAATCCTTCCAACCTTCATTTAGCTTTTCCCTCCTTCCCTCCTTTTGCTCGTACTAGATGTAGAAATCAATATCGTGTTGAACCTTAATTTCATGAATCCCCTGAATCTTTGTATTCGCAAAAGTTTAATATTCAAACATCGTTAATGATTCTGAAAGCACCCTCAAACATCGGATCTTATTACTATTTTTTTGGCTGACATTGGAGTGACTAGTTCTGTACCCTTCCTGCACCCTTTCCCTTGAACTACCTAGCTTCCAAGGTCCAAGGGTCACAGCTCCAATAGCGCGAGAGTAGCTCTTCCTTTTTAGTTTCATGTTTCAAGCGCTTTAGTTTCATCGTTCCGAAGTCCGAATCCACTTATCTTATCAAACCTGACCACACATCCAAAGTGGAATACTTTTCAGATCCACAACGTCTAATATTTGTCTGAGGTGCAACACAGCATCTACTACTATCAACAACTTCAATTGCATCTCGAAATGGTCACACTCAACCATTTCCCACCATGAGTTTCTCTCAGGATCTGTTTTCGTTTGCGCCTATACCAAAGGAAACAGCGGAACATTTCTCCTCAACACCATGGTGTAAACCAATTCTCGAGGACAGCTCTTTGCACCCCTTTTCACCTCGATCGCGAATGCGCAAGGAACATCATACCTGTGATTCATTTACGGCCATTACCCTTCAGACACCAGACACTATCTCGCATTGTCAATTCTTCTACTCTCCGCCTAATTCCTCGCGTTCGTTTGGCGAAGTTCTGGCGTTGATGAGTTTGGGTACACATGTAAATGGCCATGTTGATACTGCGCATGGTGGATTCACTGGAGTCATGTTGGATGATATGATCGGTTGCGCAGCTTCCATCGCCAGGCCAAGAGATAAAACTACCATGACCGCTTATCTACACATTACGTATAAAAAACCAATCGGGACACCAGGGGTTGTGCTGGGGAGAAGCTGGGTAGACAGGAAAGAGGGAAGGAAGATATTTGGGAAAGCCACTATAGAAGATGGTGAGGGAGTGGTGTTGGCCACTGGGGAAGCTTTATTTATTACGATGGATAGGAAAAAGCTGAGAGGAAAGTTGTGAAAGTTTCTGTGTCCCGGTCACCGGCTACAACTCGACTCGATACGAATTGTGCAAGGATTCAACGTTTCCAGACCTAGAGGTATACACCATTAATACGGATTAGATATAGATGCCATCCAGCTTAGATAAATTGGGATATAGGGTAATGTTAAATGGTTTAGACGACAAGATGTTTCATTTATAAAAACTAGCCACACTCACTATTCTGGAGTCTACTGGCCTAAGGATATACTTCTCTTTTTGTTTGCAGGAAAGAAACCTTTCCTCTTTACTTTGATGCCCTGTCTGATCTGCAGCATTTTTTATTGTGCCAAGTTGACGAGCTTTGGGGTTACCTTTTCATTATTTCCCTGGATATATTTTTTATCTTTCTCCAACGGAGTCACTTAAAATCTTCACTTTATGTTTTCGCTCGTTTCTCCAAGTTACATCTTCCCTCCACTGGTGTGGGGGAGTAGATCGTTTTGCGTTGAGCACAAGAAGGCACCTGTTGATTCTTTCTATTGAAAGGAGTAAGAGAGGATACACCACAGCAAAGAATCACCACACGAACGATTCCAGCAATCTCCTTTCTTACGCGGAACTACCTCGTGTCATTCGAAGCATTGAAACCATATCAGTGAATCCATTGAGATGATGGTTCGACTCCCGACTTCATGACTATCAAATGGGTTTAATTTTACTTGGCAGTCTTGATAGGGAGGAAGATGATATCATGCAATCTAAATCCTAGTTTAATGTTCTAGAAGAATTAGTACTTCCACAGAATGGAGTCGAACGGAATCAAAGCGTTTTATATTCTAGTTTGTTGCATGTCTGATTTTCAGCCACATGGTACCAGCCTCAAAAGCATGCCTTTCGGTACAGGGCTGTATCGGCACTTGAAGATCTTGGGTTGAATGGCGTGAGGAGCGCATAATAGTGCATATGGTGGAAAGTGGACTTGATTACCCACTTTATATTTGGAGCCCATAGGTTCATGCCGGAATCTTGATGATTCATTCAGTATTCTCTCTTGGCCTAGAACCAACCCATGACTCGATTGTGGAGGTCGTGCACATCATTTGTTCCAAAGTGCGCGAAGTGTTCTGCAGATGGAAGACTCCTCAATATGTTGTATGAGGTTGGAACATTAACACATCATAGGTTCGACACTGATACTCAGCGATTCGTTAAGATCAAGGTAATTGGTGTTAGTACTGACATGGATAGTTGAAGAACACTTGAAGTATATTTCGAATGAAAGAAGTAAAAAAGAGAAAGCTAGTAGAATAGACGGAGTGAATATTGACATTTCTGTTGGATGTTCGTCCGAGTTCGATAGGTAAGTTGAGCTAAGTACTTAAATAGACATTAACATAATAGCGGGAGAGGCTATAAGAGCTTAATTCACCACAGTTTTGGATATGGCGTGTCTACTCGAGTATTCAATAAATCTCACGGCTTATTAGGTTAATCAAAGATTGATTTTTGATCGGTCTATGGCGTGGTCTATTTAAGCTTTGGGTCTCCCCTCAACAATGCAACTTTGCTTTCCACCCATTCTATACCTGATTCATGCAATAAGTTTATCAACTTTTCTCAATCTTCACTGTGGTAAATACTTCGGCGTGTCGTCTCCAAACAATATCAATTTACTCCATACCTATTTCCTAAGCTCATCTTCTACCTCGACAAGATCTCTCTGCTTCGAAACATTCAAATCTTTCTCAAACCAGATATCACAATTTAACTTACCTACTAGGTACTTATCATGTCACCAACGTATTCACCTCCTGAGAAGGTGGGAATTATGAAACTTTCCACCGAACTCCGAAATATCATCTGGACCGAGGCTCTATCTATCAAGCAATCTCGATACATACAGTCATCTAAAAAATCAATACTTCAATCTCTGCGATTAACCTGTCGCACAATTTACAATGATCTCGAATCAGGATTTCCAACAGAATATTTGCAAACCCAAACTTTCACTTTCCGAACCCTGGAATCCTTTCTCAAATGCGCCCCTTTATATACTCGCGCGGAACAAGTCCTCCTACAATCAGTTCATATTCAATTCTGCGAGACACCGGATTCCCACCGCTACAAAGGCTCCCCTCACGTTCCGTACACGAGACAAAATTTCCTACTCGATGAGATTCTTTTACCGAAATATCATGGTGTGAATGACTGGATCTTCGATGTCTCCAACCTCTTCCACTCTCACCAAAATTTCTCATTCCGTCACATCACATGTTTTCTCCGCTATTGTCCCGCGGAAAATTTCACCTTGATCTTCAATACCTGCGATGGCTCATTCATGAACTGTGCACAACCCCGCAAAGGATTCAAACTCGCAACTACCAAAGAACGCACACTCAGCGAATTTGGAGAAGACGCGGCGAACTTGGCGTTGGCGTCGCAGCGCTGGAAAGAGGATGGTGAGGCGAGTGAGAAAATCGATCGGGATTCGACAGTCCTTATTATGCATCGTCCGACCCAGCTTCCACGCGACCTGAATCCGCACGTCCCGTATTGGAAATTCAATAAGCTGGATGATCCGAGAGATCCGTGGTTGGATGTTAAGAAACATGCACGGAATAGTATCTCGCATGCCGCGAAGTGGAAGATGGAGACGTGGAAGAGGAGGAGGGAGAGGAGGGCCGATGCGAAGGAGAAGAGGAGTGCGGAGTTGGTGATGGTGGCGAGGGAAAAGGAGGAGGTGCTAGTTTTGAGGCTTTTTGAGGGGAGTGGCTTGGATGGGATTTGGGTTTGAGGGTGCATGTTAGATGTTGGAGGTTGGAGGTTGGAAGTTGGAGATACTAGGTCGTCTGATGTTTCTTGGAGGTGGGGATGGTTTTTAGTGTTGTTTTTGGATTAGGGAAATAGGGTAGTGAAAATATTTGATTTCTTGCTAGAACATAAATATCAAGGTTTAGACTATCAGACAAGATTTCGATTTGTTCGAATATTCCCATGCTGTGATAGAATCAGAGATAGTTCTAGATAGTCGTAGGGATTATTACATCCTTCCTATTCAGCCAAACATCTCTTGCACCTACAATCACCGGAGAGCCATGACGCAAGGGCTTTGCGTCTTTCCATTTTCGATCCCGATAATACTTTAATATAACTGACACACACCTCTTCTCCCTTTTTGATCTCTCTCAGAGCGCAGTATTGAAATTTCGAGCCCGCCCGATCAAAGTCCTGGATATATGTACCCAGCATGCGCGGCTCCTCACAACTATGGTTAAACATTGCGTATAAGCCATCAACCCAGCACCCGTACTCATCTTCTGCATTATACTCTCCCGCCGAGTTGACCCTGAATATTTGCCTGCGAAGTTATATCAGTTGTTATCATTGTGCATGCTGTTCTAGGAAAGATAGACATACCACAGAGTTTTCAATACCCAGGTATCATACCATTGATTCGCGAAAATATCTATCCCAAGCATCTCCAGAATTTTAAAGGCTGGATGATGCGGATCCCTAAGGACCAGGGGTCTTGAGCAGCTCCTTCGTGATTGCTTAGATGGGCTACAAGAGCATGCTGAAGTGGATGTCTGCCCCCTTGTTTACATGTCGCTAAAAGCCGTAACCATATTATTCCAGCCATCTCGGGCCCCCATAGGTAACATTTTTTGTTTCTCGGGAGTGAATGTATGGGGAGGATATTGATGCCACATAGGGCATCGTGGTAATACTGCGTGGCGAGATTCCTGCAGTCTTTACTGCAGAAGTAGAGATGGGAACAACATACAAATCCATATTTTGGGCCAGATTCGTTCAAGAGCCCGTAACAATTGAAGCAATTTCCTGGGGATGTTTTTGATTTCGTCTTCGTTTCTCCTATTAATGAATCTATCATGCTTAAATGTTTCTTTAATTGTAAGCCACTGATTGATAAGACTGGGCTGCGCTCGATAATGATATCACCTTCATGTATATCTTGACTTGCAAACATGCCATAAGAAGCTCCATCTGAGTTTGGTACAGCTACAGTAGAAGGTCGAATTCGGAGTACCTTTGAGCACTTTTTCAGCGCTATATTGGCGGGTTTGATTGAGCTTTTGCTTCTGGTATGGAACCCTGAGGCCCATGGATATGGTTTACTCCATACTGCTCCCATCTCTGCCTTCATCCACTTGACACCATCGGATAAGGACTGTTCGTATATGAGAATTCGATTCCTTTCGTACGCAGAGGTTGCGGCTTCCTGGGAACGGAGAAATGTGATATCGTCTGGGTAATGTCTTAATGCTTCTGTGGTTATGGATTTGATGTCCGGAAGAGCTTGGAGATGGTCGAGGGAGAAGATTAATTGGGTATAGCTACAATAGTTGTTAGGTCAAAATAAAAACTATTGGTACCTAGACAAGGTAATATGAACACACGCTTGCTTCCGCTCGTGCTTCAACGAATCAAGCATCTGTACGCCCAACTTTTTCGCGGAGAAATTCACATCCCATGGATTTCCCTAATGATAATCAGGAAACTTTACTTTCGCACCGTGTTTGAGCTGTACCTTGATAAAGTCTCGATACCATACCGCCATTCCCATCTCAAGCCATACTCTCGAGCCGAGACACTTCCCATCAAACACATATGTCGTCAATACAAGCGCCTTATAAGCATCCGCTGCAGCGAGTTCCGGATATCCCAATTTCAAAAGAACTGCAGATCGATTTCTCCAGTGACATGGCGTGTAGGGAAAAAGAGCCAGGGCTCTAGTGTATTCCCTCAGACTCTTGCGACATCTCTCAATTTCCTATAATCGGTGTTAGACATTGTGAGGATTTGTAGTTTGGTTGGGCGAGGGAGCATGGATGCACTGACAGTGAGGAGCAAGGAATCAAACGGTTGCATACTTCCTCTGTCGTTGATAATGGTTGGTTGCCAAAGATTGACTTCCCAGTATCGATCCATGATGATTGCAGGTAAGTGAGGCGGTGATGTATGGAGGGCAAATCGGTGGAGGTTGAATTGTTGAGGTTGGTGGTCAAGATAAAAATGATTATTTATATGGCAATCAAAAAAGAGCTACGTAGTGCTTGTTTGGTTGAGACTCCCTAAGCGAGCTAGGTCCAATGACATACAATCTTTGCCATTTAAGTGCTCAATGTTGTTTTACACAGACTAGAAACTTATTCCATGATCAGATTTAAGAAAGAAGTATTGAAGATATCAAAGTGCGATCTATTGAAGTCGCTCAGATGCATTTTCCATCGGCTGTACCAATGTCGATTTTGGTTTCCCATCCTTCAATTCTTTCATGCAATGAAAGACAAACAAATCAACTAAACGAATTACCTCCATCCTGAAGCTTCCGTATACAAACCTCCTTTATTGATCTTTGAAGCGAAATTTGTTCTTACATCCAGGTCCTCTTTATGTGACTACACTACAGTATTACTGTGGATCCTACGTTTCTGGAAAGGAAAACATTAGGGTTGGTATGAAATACTTTGACATCTAATAAGCATATGTGGAGCGGCAGATAAGAACTACTACTATCTTTCGGGCGAAGATCAATGACCACAGAATGAGAGTACATAAACTTAGCTGCCAAAAACATTCGACAAGAGGATCTCATTGCTGTTGCTTTTGGATCTAGAATCCCGCTTGTGCTACGGCCAAGCACATGTGGAAACCATTACCCATACGCGGAAGAAGCATATATCCAGGTATGACGAAAGGAGAAATGATTAATCTAGCGGCCGGAGGAGAATTCAGTGAGATGAAGTCTTTCATCTTGTGAAGTCTCCTTGATAACATTGTGGTATTTTTGATATATTGCGGACGGCTTCAAGCCGCGTAGATACATTATAAAAACTGTGGAGCAGAGCCGTTCTTAATACTTCACATAATCTTAGTACTGCGGTATTGAAGCAGTCATGGGTGACGTGATTCGTCCCAGGATATTATCCGGATGTACTGCTGACACTTGGCAGTGGGGAGATTCTGCCTGGGTCAAAGCATTCCCCAAGACAGTAGAAGAACATGCAAACTCATAGTATTCGCGACTGACACTCAATAAATTACTCTTAATACGACATATAACATCAATGATTCGTGTTTGGATATCAATATTGCCTACGCTCATACAATCTGTAGCCGGTACTGCACAAACCCAATATCGACTTCGTTCGAGTGCTTTTGCTGTTCCTGGAAACGCTACTTATGATTATGTTGGTATGTGAGTGATTGTTGAGTACCGAAAGAACTTAAGTTAATAGATTCAGTGGTCGGAGGTGGAACAGCCGGGTTGGTCATTGCATCAAGGCTCGCAGGAATAGCATCTGTTGGCGTAATCGAAGCAGGTGGTTTTTACGAGCAAGACAATGGAAACTATAGCATCGTCCCATATGGAAGCTTGCAAATGCCTCTGGTGTACTCAACTGAAGATTATCCCAAGCAACCACTCATTGACTGGGATTTGTTCTCTGTACCACAAGTAAATGCTGGGAACCGGCGAATACACTATGCTCGAGGAAAAACGCTAGGAGGATCTTCAGCACTGAATGCGTTATCATACCATCGTGCTACTTCTGGTACGTATCAGAAATGGGCTGAACTTGCAGGAGATGAGAGTTTCACTTTTGAAAATCTTCTTCCGTATTACAAGAAGTCTTGTCATTTGACCCCACCTGATATTGTAAAAAGAAACTCGACATCTGCAACTGTAGTGTATGATACCACAGCTTTTGATAACTCTTTTGGAGGACCTCTACAAGTTTCCTGGAACAATTGGGTTGACCCCACGATAAATGCACTTGCGAAAGCTGTACAGTCTATTGGTCTTCCAGTTAGTTCAGTTGGATTCAGTAGTGGGTCTTTATCAGGTCATGGTGCTTGGGTCCCTTCGACTATTGAGCCCAAGAAAGCTGTACGATCATCTTCGCAGTCAAGTTTCTTAGAAAAGGCTATTGAGAATACGGATATCATGGTGCATGCCCACACTCAAGCTCTAAAGATCCTTTTCGCTTCCGATTCACCAAAAAGAGCAAATGCGATTCAAGTATCGACAGCAGGATTTCAATACACCATTCATGCAAATAAAGAAGTCATCGTATCCACAGGAGTTTTTCACTCGCCACAACTACTTATGGTATCTGGTAAGAGGCTACTCTTCAGGTTGGGGCGAATATGCTAATTTGGAGAAGGAATCGGACCGCGTTCTACACTCGAGGAACATAATATCCCGTTGATTTCAGAACTTCCAGGAGTAGGACAAAACCTATGGGATCAACTCTCATTCACTGTGCTCAACCAAGTAAACACACCGAGTACTGGAAGCATTGTAGCAAATCTGAACAACTCTGCCGAATTGTTGCAACAATATTACGAAGATGCTAGTGGGCCATACAGCTCGGCGGCAGGTTACCTATCCTTCGAAAGAATTCCAGAAGAATTACGAGGAAATTTTTCAAAACAGACAACATCTTCACTAACATATTTCCCACCTGACTGGCCAGAAGCAGAATATGTAGGAGCAGGTTTTGGAGGTGACAATTTCTCAACAATTGGTGTTTTTGGCGGAGTACTTACAGCTCCTCTTTCCCGAGGCAATATCACTATCAAAAGCGCTAGCGTGTTAGACCCACCAGTAATCGATCTTGGCTGGTTCAGTGACCCAGCAGATTCCGAAGTAGCAGTGGCAATATTCAAACGCATTCGACAAATATGGGACAGCGACCCAGCTAAATCTATTAAGATAGGACCTGAGATTCTTCCAGGAGTAGCGGTACAAACAGACGAAGAAATCTTGGAGTATATTCAACAGAACTCGGCTCCAATGTGGCATGCTAGTGCTACATGCGCAATGGGTAAACCTGGAGATACGAACGCGGTTGTAGATTCGAGGGGAAGGGTATCTGGAGTAAAGGGGCTAAGAGTAGTTGATGCTTCGATCTTTCCTTTTGCGCTTCCTGGACATCCTCAAGCTTCTGTCTATATGATTGCCGAGAAAATTGCAGATGACATAATAACTGGGAAATAATTTATGTCGGTTGTCGCGATATGCCAATATTCAGTTGTTCAATACTAAGCCAGCAGTGAAAGAGGTTGGTGGAGACCCATGAATGATGGCAAAAAGAGTAAAATTTCACCCCACAACTTAGATGAGATGCAACCACTCGACTGCTTAGTGAAAAGGAAGTTTCATTGTCAAAATTGCACCAGTCCAACCATATGATAGTATACATCATCAAATTCCAATAACTAAGATCCGACCATTATAGATCCCAATAAAACCACCAACTCCATCCACCACGCATACAATATATCCACGTACACCTTTAACCTAAACCTTCATCCACAAATTCAAGACACCCTTTGCATATTCCACAATCTCATCACCACCCAATTTACTCTCTCCATAAACACGATCCACGAAACTGATTGGGACTTCGGCCACCGTACATCCCATAGCCTTAGCTCTAACCATCATTTCCATCTGGAAAGTATATCCCTTACTTTCCGTACTTTCAATAACCTTCTGTAAAACCGCTTTCTTGTATAGTCTGAAACTTCCCGTCAAATCGCTAACCCCAGGTCTCAAAACGGTATCAGCGAATAAATTGGCGCCCCTGGAAACCAACTTTCTCTTCAAATCCCATCCAAATACACCTCCGTCACCGGCATATCTTGTACCAGTAACGATATCATATCCACCATTTGTAGAAAGCGTTTTTTGTTTCGCGATCATTTGGGAGATGAATTTAGGGTGGTGAGAGAAATCCGCGTCCATAATAATAACATAGTTTCCAGTTACGAATTGGAGACCGTGAACATATGCCGTTCCGAGACCAAGCTTACCGGCGCGAGCTTTGAGGAGAACATGAGGGGAGTAAGCTTTGGCAAGTTGATTGGCAACGACTTGAGTTCCGTCGGGGGAACCGTCGTCAACGATGATGAGCTCCCAATCGAGTCCTCTATGATTCAATTAGCTGCCGTCTGAAAAATCAATGCGCACAAAAGTGCGAGCCATTGGCGCAAACTTACTGCTCGGTGAATGTGCGATTAAGAAGCCATGTAATGATGGGAAGGTTGCGACGTTCATTGTAGGTAGGAAGGATTACGGAGTATTTGTCTTTGGTTGATTTTGGTGCCATCTTGGATGATTATTATTGTAGGTAAAGGAAGGTAAGTGTCGAGAATCAATCGGGACTATTCAATTAAAATTGTATGTTGTTAAAGGAGTGTGATTGTTGACTTCTCGTGGAGCTTGATGGGGTTCAGGTGCACCGTGTCCACAAAATTGGCAATCCGACATGGCTCGCTTAGTAAGCACGTCGGCCACGTCCACCAGGTCGCTATCGCGTCCGTCACCATCAAGTCGATGGATGGAAGTTGGATACATCAATTGTATATATCCCAAGCATTTTAAAATCCTTCGGCTTGCAACCCTATAGTTAAACCTTATTTTCCATTTGGGATCAACAAGAATAAGGCACCGATTTTGAAAAATTGCGACTTTTCCTGGTTCCGTTTCAGCAAAGTCGGAACCGACGACTTTCCCTCAAGACCGTCTCAAGAGAGTCACTCATATTAGCTGGATCTAGATGTTCCTAGTCTTTGGAGCTTATAGAATCTCAAATGACGAAAATCAGGCTAGTATTTAGCAAGCGCCACGAAGTCATCACGCTGAGTGTAATCGTTGAAGTCACGAGTACAACTTGCTCTCGCGTTGCAAAGCAAAGCCTTGAAAATTGCATCTTGGTCGTGTGCATTTATCCTTCATAAGATCCTGTTACCCTTGACTATCTACGATGTTTCATATTGTGAAAATACTGAAGTAAGGCTTAACATGCTAATTATGCATCATATCCGCGAAATATTGTTCATTTTTCAGTGTAGCTCATTGAAGGTCTAGGACAGGCAATATCGAGGCTCTTTGATTCGCATGGCCCAGTAGTTTTTGGCTAAAGACACTTGGTGAGCGAGCCAACTACCAATTCGTGTAACATAATTGAGCGGATAGCGTGGCCAAATCGTAGAAGTGTCTCGATAAAATGGACGTTAAGCGCTTCTCTGTGTGATCGAACACGATCCGCTTCCCAAACACCATATATCCGAAATCCGCACCGACACCTGCATCTACGAAGATCTCCTGATTTCCTCCTCGAAAAATTCATGGTGAGTAACTGTTCCTTTCGCTGGTTGAGCTTGTTCATTTAACTCCTCATGATGTTGATGACCGTGGCCATGTTCATGACTTTTTCTATGAACTCGAAGAACGATATCGTTCTCTGTCTCCTCCTCAGATATGATTTCGTACGCCTATTTTCTGGCTCGATGGTAGGATTCATTCAACAGTCTGAGTTATGCTACTGGCAGTCGAATTTTCACCCAAAAGCCACAAGATTAGCTAACGCATATGTAGATTATTAGAAACTCGTTTGCGATAGCCTGGAACTACTGCTAGACTAGTCGATAGTTAAAATTTAATCGGCAGAGTCGAAATTGAACTCCTGGAAGGAAAGATAAGGTAATCGACTTACCATTGAGAAGGTCTTTGCGAAACTGTGACTTGAGGTCATAGGGTAATAGTAATAGTATCATTTGGTAGTGATTTGGCGTTGGATAGGCTATCAATAGTTTTGTTGTATGATTTGTACACAGTCTTTTTAGCAGAATCTTACTATGTCAAATAAAGGAGATAATTTAGGGACTAATGTATGGTTCATTTCTACAGCCGCCGCTTCGAATTAAGCTCTAACATAGAATATATAGCTGATCACAAGGAAAAATACGTAGGCTAATTTATGGACTGCTGCCGATGTGCGCGATTTTATTTGAAATTCACATACCTATTAAGGGAAGCATCGAACCCGAAAACCATGGGAGTTAGTAGGAAAATCGTTGAAACATTCGAAAAACGATGACCCATTTTTAAAAGGTATGTTTCGCCCAAATACAAGCAAAGTGAAAATATTCCGGAGCGAAACAAGATGTGATCTCTAATAAATACACCTACATATTCCTCCCTCCTGTGACCATAATGACCTGTCCCGTCACATACCCAAACAACGGACTCGCGACCGCCAAGATACTCCTCGCCGCTTCCCCCGCCGTACCTGCCCTCCTCAACGGAATATCTAAATTCGCATCTTTCCCTTGACTGCCCTGACCCTTCGGTATCCCCAGTGCAATTTTCTCTCCATCCGGTGTCGTTACATAAGCTCCCTCTTCCTTCGCAGCCGTCAATCTCGTCAATATATGTCCAAACGCTATACTATTACATCTGACCCCGAATTTAGGACCCCATTCCTTTGCAATCACTTTCGTAAGACCATTAATTCCCGATTTTGCAACTCCATAATTGGCCTGTCCAGCATTGCCATGAACACCGGATGTAGAGGATATATTTACTATACATCTCGGTTCACCATCTGTGACGCGAAAATAGGGCGCGGCTTCGCGAATAAGTTTAAAAGGGGCGGTGTTGTGAAGAGCCAAGATGTTTTCCCATTGTTTGTCGGTCATTTTGTGGATTACGCCATCCCATGTATATCCCGCATTATTTACTATTATATGAATTTTTCCGTTTCCAAATTCTGCAGCTTTCTTCACAAGTACTTTGAGATATTCGGCATCGAGCATGTCGCCTGGAACTGCGATTGAGCGGCCGCTTTCTGCGGAATTGATTTCGTCGGCGACGGATTTTGCTTTGGCTGAGAGGGACATTGGGTCAGTATTAGGGTCATTGATATAAATAGCGAATTGAAAAGTACCGACCTCCATCGATATCAGATATAATCACTTTGGCTCCTTCATTCGCGAAAAGTTTTGCGGTTTCCGCACCAATACCTTGGCCAGAACCGGTAATTATAGCTACTTGACCAGCAAGTAATCCCTTGGGATAATTGAGATGCCCAGCAATTTGAGCAATACGAGACGTCATTGTATAGTACTCTGATCGATAGGAAATTGGAGTCAGAGGTAGTAAGAACGGTGGCATTTGTTTGTATTTGTGAGGTTTCCTAGTGTATGGATTAAGGCGGGGAACGATAGCTTCCCCGGATTTTTGATTGCCGGACCGAGGCATGCTTTAAGTTTCTATTTTTGGATATTGAGCTATTTTGTCTTCACAACTGTTCGAAATACCCGTCTTCAATTCCAATTACTTGAGCATAATATCTTGCGTTGTGTAATTCTCTAGTCCTATTCTACATAAGTATTTGCGTCTATCAATGTAGCTAATTTCTTGACCATCTGAAGTGCCACGCTAAAGAATCTTCTGTCTATACCGAAGCCCCTATTCTCATCCTTTGTCGCGTCTAAATCACTACCACGCATTCAACTTGGAGCTCAACGCCCCATCGACAGGCGGACGAAATATTCCAAAACATCCATAAAGATAGATCTCGCAACTAACGTTCGAGATTCAACATTTCAGTCCAAGACCGTTGTGATAATAATCGAAACCTATAGTCAAGCCGTACAAATGTGAAGCAGCTGCCGCAAGGACGAGCATATGAAATATTTGATGAGAGCTTCCCCAAATATCGTAAGAACCTGGTGAGGTCCGTTCAGGCCATCGAGCCTAGTTGCTATCAGAAAACCATTCCCTCAAACACCTCTGGAATGCTTACCGCGTATAATGAAGCACCAAGAATGTAAAAGAATCCTTCTAGTAGTAACCATGTCAAGCCCGCTCGTTCACGCATTGCATGGAATCCATAAAGTTGTATCCCATTCAGTATAGGAATGACGGCTCCGCAAAGCGCCAGAGCCACAAAGATACCTGCTCGATAAGGTCTCCAAGCAGGAGTTCTGAATCTTTCAAGCATGACTACAACTGCACAAATACCTCCAAGGACACCCGTCTGAATGTATCATGAGCCAAGTGAAAATTGAACGCATTCTGTAGAAACGACTTACAATTGTGGAGTAAAATTCGAATAGATGTGGATGACAATACAAACCATAATAGATCCCAGGGATAACACTTCCAGTGATGAGAGAAACGATCCCCAAATAATCTAACTTATTGCCAAACTTAGCAACAGTGGGAGAATGATTAGAGATAGTATGATAAGTCCCCGACATCCCAAGGCATAATGCAGCTCCTGCAAAAAAGCAACTAAATGCTAGAACATCAGCGATTTCAGCGGATGCATATCTAGGCTTAATGATTGCATATAAGAGAAATCCCGAAAGTGTGAATACTACGGCTCCAATCAAGTGCGAATAGATATTGACTGATTCGTTGTGAACGTAACCCAGGGATGCAAAGGACTTTTGGAAAGATGATGTTGCAGGTCGATAACCAGATCTGATGTAATGATTGTCTTGTTGCCACGAGGGAAGATCATCCCAAAGTACTGTAAGAGAATTTTCAGCTCTCCTTTCAATATTTTTGGCTGTTTCGAAAAGAAGTTCTGTGGTCGATGTCGTCGATGGTCTTCGTTGACGAGTCGACATCTTAATACCAGTGAGTGAGCTTGTGCTTACGATTGATTACCTTGAAATGAAATGAAGTCAATCGCTACAAGTAAAATCACAACTGAAGAAGTAAACGACTGATTTGGCATAATAAATCCATCATTTTTATGGATAAAGCTGGGATGATTATCACCCAGGTACTGAAATTCTTATCAGATTCATCAAAAATAATGTTGGGAGTTCCTTCTTAAAGCAGCAATTGATGACGAGGGGTATTGAAGCTAAGCTTGAGAGTGTTCATTTTCACTCATGCAAACGAAATAGAGACATCACATCAAACAAGCATCATTGTCGATATTTGTTCTCTTTCTCGATGTCGACCAAAGGTGGACGTAACTCATCATGGAGTCGGTTAAAGCCCGTCAAGCAGGATATTTTCGAGGAGATGGGCTTAAGATCCAAGGGAGATAATCAGTACGTCCTTGGACCCAATCTTATCTTCCGCCTTTATTTACTTACCGCCCCGCCAGGCTCCTTGACTATAAAACCCAGGAACGTTTCTATAACAAGATAGTCGAACGATACTTGATATTCGCAGCCGATGCTCGCAGAGGAGACGAATTGAACCGGAAGCTTGCACGTCTGAATATTGCACAAGATAATGCGAATCGCGATGCTGCTCCAACAACACAAACAGTGCCAAACCCCGCAGACCTTACCAATGGCAAGCCCGATGCAAACGAACTCGACGCTATAACAATGGGAATGAGAAAACTCCGAGAAGGAATCGTGGCATCGAAAAGAATAGATGATTTCTCCATCCAAGCATATATATTTTGCATACGCTTGTCAATTTTGCTGAAACATTGGGAATCGTATCATCCAGCGATGCGCCATTTACTTCAAGTAATGCACCCAAAATATCCACTATCAAGCACCGAACTCCAAGAATTTGCAGCATACCAAGTTCTGGATTTTGCTTGTAGGCAATCGGATCTGGCAAAGGCATACTCCATCAGACTCGCACTCGGGTTGCGAGACCCTAAAGTCGACGAAGTTTTGAAAGCGATTGCTCACGATAATTACTTTCTATTCTGGAAGGTAAAGAGAGAGGTTGATGGCTATAAGGCAAAGATCATGGAATTCGCGGGGGAGGAAATGAAGCTACATGCTTTAAAATCGATTGGGAAAACGTACCTCAGCATCGAATTAGATTCCCTGGAGCAACTTACCGATTCTAGTTGGGGCGTCTTGACCGAGGCGTATAGCGTGGGATGGCAATTAGAAGGGACAAAGGTTGTAATTCGAAAACCAAAGCCACGCTGAAGGTATAAATATGCATCTGCGATGTCATTACTATTATTCTATTTCAGGAATATACGAGGTTATATGTTATAGGTATGCGGATTTGCAATGAACGTAGTCGATGGGCTAATCTCTGACAATTCACATCAGGTCATGAGTTGACCTTATTCACTATCATGACTATTGATAATTTATAATCATTATCAGCATGAGCTGGAGATTCAAGAACGTCCGCGCGAAGTCGTAAGAGAGGTCATGTTGGATTTGTACACTCCCATTACCTTTTTCTGGTCGCAACACAAGATTCTAGTCGGTACGACATGAACGTCATTTGACGCGACAACAGGATACAGGTGTTCACGCTGATCATCCTTTGATCGTAGGCCACGAACCCATGATTCTGGTAAGACGTGAATATCAAATATTTCACCGTTTCTATTTCATAAGGTTATAAAAAGGAAACTTTTCGATGATGTCATCCGAAAGATGGAGGAAGTTGATATGAAGTATGACATCGGACTTGAGAGATTGATAAATACTTGCGAAAGGTATATCATTACTAGAAAATGAAATTTTAATATCAAATCTACGAATGAAAACCCTTTAAATGATAGGACGAACTCGTCGTTGAATGAGGACAATTTGATCTCATCCCATCGGTAGTCGTTTAGCTGTCCTATTCCGACACTGTAGCTAAACAGGATCGTATGCTAACTTTGACATCTAATCCACTCTAACTGGCTCAATAGATACTACATCTAAATCACCCTTGCTGAAGGGTTTGATCTCTAATATATAATATCTAATTGGTGGTTGTGCAAATTAGCCACACTCGTCCAAAGGGTTATGCTTCAAGTCCGAGTATCCGAAAGTTGCCCATCCTTTGGCGGGGTCTCCGCCGATCAATCAATTTTCTTTTTGTAAAACTGCACATCCTTCGGCAAACACGGGTGTCATGAAGAGGCAAATGATCAGCACACGCAACGCACAATGAAGGAGGGGAGGAAATAAAGGGAAGTTGTGATCAACAACTCGAAATTTCGAATTGATTGAACCTAGATTTATACTTTCAAATTCCAAATATTTTGAATGTGACTTCATTAGCTTCAAACGAGCTACAGCCCGTGGGCCACGGGCTATCCCGTACATTCGTTAAAAGCGCCTAAAACAAACAACTGACCACCTGCACTGGAAGAATGAAAGCTTCCATATGACCTAAAGCATGGAATTTCGACATTCTTGGTGGTGGGCATGGCATTTGTTGCATATCGACAAGAACTGCTATTTGAACTAGAAACCCAGCTTTCTATCAAGAACAACAACATTTGATTGGTGTTAACCCGACGGTAGAGGAACGTGCAGTACCAAGCCACTTTTAAACGAATCCGAAAGAAGGGATCAGACGCCTCATGTACAAAATAAGCAAGAGCTAGCGAAAGATCTAGACTCGTCTAAATCATGAAATTCGTATTCCCCATTCGTCCAAGAAATCAGGCCACATTGGCAGATCATTGGAACCACGCCTTTAATTGAAAACTCCCATTTCGGACAAGTTTCAAGCCAGGCGAGCAAGAAAATTCTATTGTTGCATATCTCATGAAGTGATCAGCTATCATTCATTTCCTATTTGGATTGTAAAACTCTGGGGTGCAATATCTATAGGCTTGGGATGGGGATCGGCAGTGGAAAGACTGTAGTCCAGAGAGAAGAAAGTGTCACAAACTGGACATTGTTGCATATCTTACGGAAAGATCAACGATATTCACTCCTCTTTCTGGTTTGTATTACCTTTTGGTATAAAGGGTCTTTAGTAATCTAGAGCGATGCGTTCTCTTTTGTTGCATATCTGAATTATACGATCGTCTATCGTGAATTCCCTTTTAAGGAGAAAATTCTTACAATCTCGCGACAGCCAGCTCCGAGATTGAAACGCTGGAATGTTTGTTGCACATCTTACATTGATCGCCACTGCAATTTTTCCAATCACTACTGTGAAGTATGAAGAAAGTCTTTCTCAGATTTTTGTTGCAAGTCTGAAAAATCTTGATCATCTTCGAAAATGGCCGGATTGGGTCAGTGTCCGAAATGAGTTTCCACACCACATCATGTTGTTGCCGACCTGATGGCTTGATGTTCCTCATTCCTCTCCTCATTTAGATCTCCTCCGAAGCAGAAACATACTACACAACTTTTTGTTGCACATCTGAAATCTTAGGATCGTCTTTCAATCTCCCAATCTAGATACACTCGGAGATTCATCGTTTGGAACGGAGGCATATTTTTGTTGCAATCTTACAACCTTTTTTTGGTCAAAGCCAACCAGGATTTGATTCCGACGATTTCGATACTAGATTTCCCGCATATTGAGTACGAGTCCTTTGTTGCACATCTAAAAAATCATGATCGTCTCCGTGTCGCCCAATGCAGACAAATTGCATACCTCAGCTTGTAACTTTTTCCTTTGTTGCAAATCTCATCGCTTGATTTTCCCGGAAACTTTCTCTTTCTGCTACAGCTCGCCTACACAAGTACGAAACCGTCGAGCTCTTGACATGAAATACGCCTTGGCTGTACATCCAACCTAATCATTTGCTTTCCTGTTTTGCACAGCTCGCTTAGAGCCATCAAATCATTGCTGCTTAAATCTCCACCCTTTGGAGTTTGTTGCACGTCTAATCGCTTGATCTTCTCTATTCAATCCAATTTCGGGACGGGTCGCCTGTGCTCGGCTGCGAGCGAAGTTTGTTGCAGATCCTCTGAAATTGATCGGCTGTGGAGATTACCCATTTGGATCACGGGCCTTCCGTGTTCCCATTCTGAGGGGGCCTAGGCCCGATATTTGAGGTAACATTGCCAGTTTGTTGCGTCTCTGAAAATCAATCATTTCCTATTCGAGTGTATGCGAGATTGATGAATGATGTTGAGGCTGTTTTTTGTTGTTGTCTTGTTGTCTTGTTGCATGTCTGGATTTTGATCATTACTTGTTTGGGAATCACAATAATTTGGGTGGCTGAGACCTTGGTACCCCTCAACCCTGACTGTGCATCGATACGCATAGAGACTCTCTCCTTCTTTCATTATATGGATGGGTTTTAATTATAGCGAAATGATACATTATACATGCTCATAAGGAAGAGAAAGCCCTCGAAGTAGTAAAGGCGTCTACCACCGAAGCATAGAGCGTCCACGAACGTATCTAGCTTTGCAGGAACAGTTTGTAACGAAGTGTTGCACGAGTATTTTATCCAATTCCATCATCTAAAGTGGGATTCGAAATAGATCTTCTAATTCCGGCCTATCTTCGGTTATCCCTCACATAGATGAGCAGCCTGTAGCGTGTTACTACTTATGGCTACCTGTTTACACCATGTTTTCAGAGTTGTCAGAGTTGAAATAGGACTGATTGTGGTCTCCTTTAATGATCTTATATATTTTTGGGCAGGCTCACAGAGCTTTACTTCTACTGGTATTGGTGGTAGTCTAGATCAATGGTATCTTTTTTTCAGGCATCTATTCAAAATGTCACAAATGAGTATTGCGATCTCGATAAAGCATTCAATCTAGCAGTGCAAACGAGAGAGTGTATCTCTCTTCCATTTCTAAAAACAACTAAGATCAGGAAGTTAGTCTCACCTGCCAATCGTATTACTCGCACATAAGATCTTGGGGTTAGAGGCAGGGGAATTTTATCTTGGGTTCGAAGCCATTTCGTGAGAGGGGTTACGAAAGGCTCCCGGATATAGTCACCTCGAGTAGTGTAGCCCAAGAGGAGCTCTTGAATGAGCTAATTATATGCTTAATTGTTTTGTTCACCTGGAGGTTGTTACCAAGAGTGAAAGAGGCGAAAGGGAAAAGGAGTGAGGGAAGTTTTGTTGAACAGAGGCGAGATGTTTTTCTTGATATAGTAGTCAGAACATGGTTTCAATACGCCAGAGAGACACTCTCCTAGTACAGCACGACATACACGAGAGCGGGATGAATATGGACAAAGAAAATAATTTTGAGGGCGAAACTGTTACCTATCAGACAATATAGGGGCTTCCTGAACTGCTGGACTCTGGTTCCACTAAATTAACGATAGATGTGATAAGCAAAATATGGATATATTGTGGTCGAGTTTTACAAATCCTACCAGGTAGAAGAGATTTTCCAATCTATTGCGTCTTATTGGCCAATGCCCTAACAGACAGGGACGGAAATTCTAAGTCGAAATCTATTAAGCTCGAGTACACGGCTTTACCTTACCATTGGGGAGATGACGATGCGGTGTATAAAATTTATGTATACAGCAACGAGGAATTTGGGGAAGATTGGGACGCTGTATGGCCTTTAAGCACGAGCTTTATTCAAAATGATCTTAGAGAAGCTCTCTTGCGACTAAGATCGGAGCAAGATGAGGTGCATCTATGGTGTGATGCTATATGCATAAACGAAGTCAATAATAAGGAAAAGGCCACGCAGGTTGCGAGAATGCACGAAGTCTACACATGTGCTAAGAGCGTTTGTGTTTGGTGGGAACAAATAATGAGCAGGGCGCGACTGATGGTCCGAAGCTTACATTCAATTTATTGAGAAGCATTCTAGATCTCGGGATACTGGATTGGTTAACAGGAAAGAGAACTGAGAAAATTGGATGCTTATTGTCAATCTCATGAAGGCTGATTGGTTTAAAAGGAGATGGGTAATACAGAACTTGCTCTCGGAAAGAATGCGTCGATTCGGTATGCAGATCAAGAGATGAAATGGACGGCATTTGTTGATGCAATTGCATTGTTCATGATGAAATTGGCCAGAATGAAGCAGATTCCTAACAAATCTATGAGCACTAACTTTCAAACTTGAGGAAGCCAGCGGGATATCTCGGTGCTCTTGACGCTCATGCTTTTGGTGCTAACACACTGGTTACTTATACATCTCTCTTATCCTGCAGCTCTTAATCCGTGCTACTAGGATGGTTCTCCCAGTCAATGATAAACAACAGGTTAGGATTGTCAAAGTTCATGGAAAACAATTAGGCAGCACTTCCCCTCCAGACTACAAATTGCTCACTGGTATTATGATTATGAATTTCTGAATGCTGGCGTTACCTTGGTTTCTGTGGCTTAGGGAATGAACATTTTTACCAGCTGCAAATTCTTATGCAATTGCAAAACTGACGGACATTGACCCTTAACAGCAACACTATGCCATGAGCATCGATTGTTTCTGGATAACAAAGACTATACAAGAGCACAATGAAGCTGATCCGTAAAGACTTTGGACGAAGGCCATAGATCTTCCTTTGTGGCTTTGTTCGACTTCTTGAATATCTGCTGCATTCTAGGTTAGTTTTTCTGTCATCTTGCTAGATTTAATCAAAGTTCCGACATAAAATCGAAATCCGAACGTGGTTTCCTCGAAATTTCGACCTGCACATTAGATATTTCGCAGTGAATAAATTCAAAACAAACATTGTGTGTTCCATTTTCACCATTTTGTGCGCCGAATTTACGATTATTTCAAAGACTATTTAGAGACTCGCTCTGGTCTTTTCAACCATCACATATATGCTACAGAGAACAAACTATCGGACAAAATGCAAGCGCCACACCCTAAGAATAAGTTCGATTATACCGAAAAGATCTTGGAGATAATCAGAGGCCAAGATATTACTGATGAATCAGTTGTACAAAAAATACGGGACATTTTTGTTCAGATAGACACTGATGTAGATGCTGAGGGAACCAACCTTGTAGCTGAATTTGAAAAAACAATAGAGGAAGAAAAGAGGGCGGAGGCTATAGCAGAAGCAGAAATGAAGGCAGAAAGTGCTGAAGCTAAGGAAAGACGAGAGGCAAGAGCGGAGAGAAGATTAACTCATGAAGATACCGAGGCTGCCGTGGAAATTCTACGTGCTATACATCAAACAACTGCACCTCTTCGTCATAATAAATGGCGGAAGCCAAACGCAGGGTTCACAAACAAAAATATCAGAATCATAGGCAAGATCGGTGAGGGCGGTTTTGGAGCAGTATACCTTATTGAGAATATTGAGACTAAGGTTCAGTATGCAATGAAGACTCAGTAAGCATGATGCAATCACTGACCCCTTTGGTCTTATTCTCCTTTTACTCTTCGATTCCAAATAGCACATTTATATTTCGTCTTCTACACCCCTTCTAATGCCATTACCTCTAAACACGAACACCTCATTTTCCCTCCAAAGCCTAGTGTTCACAATCATTACTGACTCTCAAATTCTGCAGACTTATTAGAGAAAATGACGATGAGCCAATGATGACACCCCCAGCGTGGAGGGGAGCCAAAACTCCTCCCGTCACACCTTCTTCCGAGGCTTCGAAGAAATCCGCGAAAGCAATGAAAGAACGACATCTAATGACTAAACGGTTCAATGAAACTAAATGTTATTTGCAGTACATACGTTCTAGTCATCCTTCTATCTGCAACTTGGAAGCTTTTTTCGACTTAGAACAGCCAGAAGATAACGGCCACTGCCATATCTTTGAGTATTGTGATTGGGGAAATCTGGAAAATATTGTGACGCAGTACTATGATAGACCACGTTGGGGCACAGGAGAGCCCGAAGGTTCTATATGGGCTCACAAACCAGAAAATATGCCAAGATTATACAAGCATGCAGCAATACCAGAAGCGTTCATTTGGCATGTCTATATGCAGACAATGGAAGCTCTTAGTTTCCTTCATGGTGACCATGAATTCAATAAGAAACAAGAATTCCACTCACGCAATCAAGTCATTTGCCTTGATATCAAGTTGGACAACATATTTTTGAAGAAATCTGGGAAACTAAACACATATCCAATTGTAAAAATAGGGGATTTCGGAGAAGCCACCTATGTGCCATATGGAGAGCAACGCTGGCATGACACAGGAACCACGGTCTGCAAGGCGCCTGAGGAACCTTATTTAAGTGCCAAATATGACGTTTGGTGTGTCGGGATGTCATTGTACATTTTGTCACACTCAGGTAGACGACCAAAGAGACCTGAAGTAGACGGAAAGGCAGATATAAAGGAGAAGCCGAATTGGGGGTTATGCGATCCACATCTTTCCAAAGTTTTGGCTAACGAGCTTGAAAAGCCAAGAGAAATGGACGTAGAAAAGAGATGGACTGCAGCTCAAATCTTAGACCATATAAGACCAATAGCTGAAGAAACGATACGTTTGACGTATAGACGTTTGCAGAATTGGGCACGACCGGAGTTACAGGTAACATTTGAGGAAGGTATCATTGAACGAGTTGAAGGGGGAGAAGCCCTCAGTGAGATTTCAGAGAGCGATAATAATGATGTTGATGATAGTGATGATAGCGATGATCATGATGATAGTGGTGATGATGATGGCGGCGACGAGATAGTCAATGCACCTCCTGGAGGAGAAGAAGTGGAAATTCGACCCCCGCACCCACCTGGTACTCCAGACTCCGGAGAAAAGAAAACCAAAGAGCAATTAGCCAGAGAGGAGGAGGCTAGAAAGCAGGAGGCTAGAAAGCAGGAAGCCGCAAAGCAGCAAGCCATGGTGCAGAAAGCATTAGAGCAGTTAGCTAGAGTTCAGCGAGCCATAGAGCAGCAAGCCAAAGAGCACTTAACCAAAGAACAATTAGCCCAGAAGCACTTAGCCATAGGGCGGATAAGCAAAGGCCAGTTTGTCAGAGAGCAGGAAGCCAGAGAACAGGAAGCTACAGAGCAGCGAGCCAGGTTACAGCAAGCGATAGCGCAGGAAGCTAGAGTGCAGCAAGCCGCAATGGAATTAGCCAAAAAGCAGCAGGCTGAGGAGCAACAGGCCAAGGAGCGTTTGAGAAGACAACAGGAAGATGAGTTGAAAAGACGAGAAGAGGAGTTGAAAAGACAACGAGAAGAGGGTCAAGTAGAAGAAAGTCCATCATATGCGCCGCCCCAGAAAAGGCGATTGATTAGATACAGAAAACTCCGAGCTTACCGGGTATGATGCATGCTTGAAATTGATCTTTGGTGAGCTCACTCAAGTCGATATATCTTATGATAGCACTAGCTAATTTACATCGCTGTAGGATCAGCCAATGGTTTTTGAACCAGTCCAACTACAAACGTCGAAACCTGACATATCTTTCAATAATGAGATTTTGAGAATGAAGATCTTTCTGTTCTAAAAACTGTCCCATAATATAGCAAGGTGCTGTCGCTGCTAGTAGTCGAATTGGAGTCTAGAGCTCGACTACTTCATGCTTGCCTAGCGTTAATGCAAGGAAAATATCTGATAGTTTTACAATTTGATCTAATCATATCTTATCAATCAAAGGATCACGAACCAATCATTTTTCTTGAACATCGCTGATCGATACATTGCTTGCCATATCTAGCACCTTTCTTGTGATGAGATACATGTGTGGATCCTAGCGCTTCATTGTTATTCCGTACTCCGTATAACGTGTTTTATCACCGAGTGGATCATATCACCGAATGGATCACTCAATTTACATACAAAATTCGTTTGTATATAACTGTATACTTTATTTATTTATTAATAGAATTTTTCAAAATTTGATATATAAAATCTAATTATAAAGATATTATAAAAATCTAACTTTTTTTTTTCGAATATTCAAATCAATATAAGAATTATTATAGAAATGGTTTTTTTATAACGAAAATCGTAACATTTTCGATTTTTTATCGAATTTGATAGAAATATTTATATAAAAACCAAAATTTTAAAAATTTTAATTCTTATTATTATTTTCAATCCTTTTAGTTTTCAAAAATAATGATTGGTTATTAAAAATAAGAATATTTAAAAATAGTGAATTTGAGTGTATTTTCAAATGATCCATTTAGTGATATGATCCACTCGGTGATAAACCACGTTATGCTATTCCGCTTATTCCGTGAGCAAAAGCGCGATGCATGAGCCCAAAATCTCCTCTGGAAGTTTTGGTGTGCAATTGACCCATGAACTTTGAAGTCTGAGCTAAAGGCCATGTCTTTAAAGGTTAGAGCCGGATAACCAAATATAGAATTGTATGGTAGTTTTGTAAGAGAGCCTGTTGACTGGGAAAACTCTTTCGAGAAAATGGATGGTTTCCCATGGAAATTATGGGATTATGGACATAGTAGTTTCGGCATCACAGACAGTTTCCCTAGGATATGAATATCAAACATGCAACTCTTCGTCTAAGTAAGCTGTCAAGTCCCTTGCATAGACCGGTGTAAGATTCACGTATCTCTGATAACGGAATAGGTAGGCCCAGCTGCTTATTCCTAGAGTATCGTCAGATGCATATATACTATGAGGACGAACCATTTCACGAATGAAGAACATCAGCTTGGCTTTTACCTCATTCCGAGAAACCCCGCACTAAAGCTTACCACGACGGCTAGCCTCGAGTTTCATAACGCAGGCTTTCGACAATGGATCCTGAGAATGACCCCGAGAAGGCTTCCGAGAAGACTTCCACACCCATTACCACGACATACGCTGACGAAGATTCTGCATACCTCGTAGCATTCACCGTCCCCCAAGATCCCAACAATCCAAAATGCTGGCCGACCTATCAGAAATGTCTCACTACGCTCGTTCTCTCATCCACCTGCTTCAATCGAATTGCTGTATCCACGATTATGGCACCTGCACTTCCCATAATCGAATCTGAGCTCCATATGACTCCCCCTGAGTCTGTTATGGCCATGTCCGTTTACTTGCTCGCCACAGCATTCGGCCCCTTACTTATTGGTCCGCTATCTGAATTATATGGACGACGCGTTGTCTTACATACCACGAATATATGGTTTCTGACTTGAAATATTGTATGTGGATTTGCGCACACGAAGGGGTTATTGATTGCTGCAGAATTGATGGCTGGTATTGGTGCTAGTGCTATTTATGCGTTAGGAAGTGGAGTTCTAGGAGATGTCTGGAGATCCGATGAGAGAGGAAGACCAATAGGGATTTATTCTTTGTTACCACTGTTTGGTGCAGCTGCTGGTCCTATTATCGGAGGTTATATTACGGAATATACAACCTGGAGGTGGATGTTTTGGTCAACATCAATTTATCAGGCGATAATGATCGTGATATCGATTCCTTTATTTCGAGAAACCCATGGTCCGACAATTCTTCGGCATGAAGCTGGGGAGCTCAGACGTAGTTCCGGGAATTCGCGTTACTACACAGAGGATGAGGCACTTGGAAAAGTAAGATCAGTTTCCTGGTTATTGATGAGAAGTTTTTCTAGGCCCGTTCGTTTACTTCTATTCCATCCGATTATTCAGGTCCAGGCTTGTCTTTCAGCTTTCGATTATGGTATCACCTACATTACTCTTTCCACCTACTCAGATATCTGGACTAAAGAATACCATGAGTCTATCTCCAAAAGTGGCCTTCACTATCTTGCCATGTGCCTCGGTGAGATAATGGGGGCACAAGTTGGAGGGCCATGATTAGATCTCGTTTTCCGCAGAATGAAACAGCGCGCGGATGGTGTTGAGAAGCCGGAATTTCGGGTCCCGATCATGATACCATCGTTCATTCTCATACCCCTTGGACTTTTAGTTTATGGATGGGCAGCTCAAAAGCATGCACCTTGGATCGTCATCGACCTTGGAGCTTTTGTATTATGTTTTGGTGTGCAGATTGGTGGAAAAGCATTGCAAGCATACGTTATCGATTCATATCCAGACCATACGAGTTCTGCATCTGCTGCATCACAATTTCTGCGCAGTTTAACTGCTTTTGGGTTTCCTTTGTTTGCACCGAGGATGTATCAAGTGTTGGGGCATGGGTGGGGAAATACCACATTGGCGTTTGTTGCTATTGCCATTGGCGTACCAGCGCCGTTGGGTATATGGCGGTACGGTCCGCGATTAAGTGCGAAGGCTTTGTCGAGTTATTGAAAGGTGAATGACGAATATTAGTACGCTTTATCGGAATGGATATCTATAGGGAATAACAAGACCAAGAACAAGCTGTGGACATGTATAGTTGTATATTTTTAATCGTTCGGGTTGTAGATCCATTTCTTCAACACTTACCACACTTTTTGATCCAAGAAAGCTTGGAAGATTGTTTGGGTTATCCGAACAAATATCAATCAATCGTCTCTTCGTCTACTTTGAACAATCATCACTACATTACCCAACTCTTTCCTACACAATGACACCAACTCGTTGGTGGTCAGAATCTCTTTCGGGAACCGTTTGATAATAATGCCAATCTTGAATGATCGTATTACTATTGGGACGAAATGATCTTGGCGATCTGAGTTTCAGAGAGAGAGCCGAATCCTTTCTGGAGCGTCTTCCAGATGCTGCCGACCTTAACATATCGCAAGGGCTTTTACGTATGATGCGAATGAGTGCATCCAACGTGAATGTCTATTCGCTTTGAACCTGAGACAAATAATGCTAAGACTTCAATGAAATTAAACTAAAAGCGACCAAACAAGCAGAAACCGTGGGAACATACACTAATGCAGAAGACGTTCTCGGTGACGTGATCAAACGTACCATAAATTAAATATCATCACCTCATTTGATAATGCCTTAGGTATACATACACAATTTCATTCGACTCTTCCGACCTCGTCATTAAAATGTAATCTAATCTCCGCCACCGCTAATCGTTCCACCGGCTTGTTTCCAACTTTGAGCCATTGCCAAGAAATTCGACAATTTCTTCGTTTGTTCATCATCGGCAGGGAAAACGTAATCAACATATTCCTCATAGCTATCATCATCGAGCTTTCTTCTTCTCTTCGTCTTTCTTGGCATTTGTTTCTGTACTTTCTCGATATCTTCCTCTGTACCGTGAGTACGTTCAAAGGAAAGATGAGCATTGAGGAGAGAAACACGCTGTGAATTTGTTAGATGTTGTGTTGAAATATTTAGATCAAGTGTGTGACATACCTCTTCCTTAAGATCCTTGTCTTTCATGCTCTTAAGGGCACGTTCGAAGATCTTCCTTGCGCGTGTTTTTGCTGCCTCACTGACTGGTTTCTCCTCATCCTCCTCTATCTCTTCCTCATCATCATCTGGAACGTTAATTTCGAAATGTGCATAACTGATCCAGACCTTCACATGATCTGTCTTCTCCAACAATCGCTCGTATAGATGTCTGGTGCGATCGTACTCTCCTTCTTCCTCCTCAAAGTCAATATACGCTTTCCATAATAATTCCGGCATATCAAGAACTTGTTGACTGATTGCCAACTCAAATATCGCACGAGTACGTTCCAGATCATCTAAACCTCGTTCCAGCTCAGCAAATTTAATCCAAGCTTGACAATTAGCCGGATTCCATTCGATATGTTTCTCGTAAAGGGTACGACATCTCACGAATTCGAAAAGTTTGATCTCCAGCTCAACATAACCTTTGAAAAGCTTATCTTTAGGACACATTCCGATAGCTTGACCTAAAGTCTTTCTGGCGGCTTGTAATTGCTGTTGTCGAATCTCGAACTGCGCCTTCATGAGCCAAATCTTGGCAAATGTAAATTTCTTGTGGGGTATCAATCTCAGACACTCTTGGTAAATCTGTCTCGCTCGCTCAACATCCTTTGACTCCATTTCCTCCCAAATAGCATAAAAAATCCACAAATAAATATAACGCCTCCAATGCCTCTTCTCCTGAGTTGGTGGAATTTGAGCAATGGCCCTCTCATAAACATCTCGAACTCGATCGACATCCCCTGAAGTTTCCTCCAATCTGGCATAGTCGAACCACGCATCGTAATTTTTGGGATTTTCCTTTACCTGCTCCTCATATTGAACTCGACGTTTCGAGATAATTACATCTTCCACACCTTCACGATCACCAAATTGTTTCTCGAAAGTCGTATAAGCTTTATGGAGGGAAATAGACTTTGATCGTGCCATACGGTCGAGGGCATATTTGTAAATGGCTCTTGCGCGTTCGTACTCCTTTAACTTTGCCTCAAATCTCGCATATGCAATAAAGAGTCTCTCATCCATAAAGTCTTCACCCAAAGCTTCAACAGCTGTTCCAAATACCTCTCTGACCAAATCACTAGTTCCATACTCTTCTTCGAATCTGGCCCATTTGATCCAATTTCTTGGTTCGGGATGTACCATAGTAAACCTTTGGAAGATTTCCCTAGCTCTTTGAAACTCGCCATATCGTTTCTCCAATTTGATGTAACTGCTCCAAGCTGCCTCATCTGGTTCCCAGGACATCCATCTTTCGAAGACTTGTCGTGTACCGGGAATATTACCAAGCATTTCCTCCATGTAACAATATTTGTACCACAGTTTATCAATTCTAGGCAGAATAGTGACGGCGCGATCCAATAAATTTCTGGCATGATTTATATTCCGCGATTTCATCTCCGCCTCGATATATCGAATCCATAATGTGACAGATGTTGAGTCGACATCTAATGCTCGTTCAAAAACGGATCGTGCTCGTTTGAATTCTTTCTGTTCCAATTCCCATTGCGCATACCTCATCCAATTGTTCATATTAATCCTATTCCTCCGCACATAATCCTCGAACTCTTTTCTTTTCCTCCCTTGGAATTCATGAAGCTCTTCGAGATCAGCAAACCGCTGAGTTGGTGCTTGAAGTCCTGGTTCTTGACGATCAACAGCTTCTCGTAGAAGTTGTTCTGCTGAGATTTGGATGGCACTGGCGGCCTTGTTTTTGACCTTTGGAGGCCCTCGAGCTTTCTCATATTCAGACTCCATGGTGGCGGTAGAGTTTAATTTCTTGAGGAAACAGTTGGTGTGATTCTGGTTCGCGTTCAAGACCTGAAGGTGTCGCGATAGTCAAAAAGATTGATTAGTAATACAATCTGCACCTACGCTAGCGGCCGCCTTTCCGGCTCGAGCTCTTCTCTAATTGATTTTCTATACCTTCACGCGCCAGCTACAACAAACAACATTACATTTAAGATGTCGACTCTCGCAGATGAATTATTGCAAGATTTTGAGGATTCTGGATCCGAAGGTGAAGGGAAGGATAATGCACACCTTTTTGCCGACCCTGACGAGGTCGCCCTAAGCATGAATGGGAACGCGACAGGACTTTCAGGCGCAAGCGAAATGGAGCTCGATGGCGATGAAGAAGCAGTCGACGAGGATGATGACATGGCAGGAATGACTAGTGGTGCTATCGATACTGCAGAAGATGAGGAGGCGACCAAAGCAAAAGTTGAAAAGATGCAACTTGGTGGAGTAGATGATGTGCGGAGTGTAGCAGGTTTGATGAAATCGTTGGAACCAGTTTTAGAGGTCAGTAGTATTTTGTATTTCCCTTTCTCACTTTGAAGACCTATGGTTTACATCTACTCTTTTGTGTCTTAGCCCTGACTCTTTCCTCGATTTGACAGAAAATCGCACACTTTCAATCATTACCTCCCGATAAACAAACGACCTTTGTAGGCTCGGTCGAAGACAACCCAGAATATCATCTCTTAACGCAAGCAAACACTTTGTCGACATCTATCGATAGTGAAATCATCCTAGTACACAAGTTCATACGAGATCATTATTCGATTCGATTTCCGGAATTGGAAACATTGGTCACCAACCCATTGGATTATGCTAAAGTTGTCACTATTATTGGGAATGGACCTATGGACTCGGAAAACATTAAGACGCTTCAAACATCGAAAGATAATCGACTTGGAGCTACACTAAGATCCGTTTTGGATGGTCCATCTGTTATGATTGTTACGGTCGAGGCAACAACTACAAAAGGTCGAGAAATGTCACCACATGAACTCGAAAGAGTACTTCGTGCTTGTGACATGACTCTTGCATTGGACAAAGCGAAAAAGACTTTAACTGATTATGTTCAATCACGCATGAACTTATTCGCTCCAAATCTTACAGCCCTCATTGGATCTCTCACAGCCGCACAACTACTCAATTTCGCTGGAGGTTTGACAGGCTTAGCAAAGACACCTGCATGCAATCTTCCTCCTCTAGGATCCAATAAATCATCCGGAACAGGTTTTGCTACTAATGTTGGAGTTCGCCAGCAAGGATTTCTTTATCATTCTCCTATTATTCAAGGCATTCCCAACGATCTTAAGAAACAAGCTATGCGTATTGTTTCCGCTAAAGTTGTCCTAGCCGCAAGAGTTGACCGCGTTCATAATAGCCCAGATGGGTCTACAGGTGAAGAATTGAAAGAACAATGTATCACTCGACTCGAAAAGCTCACTGAGCCTCCTCCAAATAAAGGTGCTCGCGCACTGCCAGCTCCAGATGATAAACCTGCACGGAAACGTGGTGGTCGACGTGCTCGATTAGCCAAGGCGGCAACTGCTATGACCGATTTGAGAAAAGCGCAAAATAGAATGGCATTTGGAAAGGAAGAGAAAGAAGTTGGTTATGGTACTGGTGACGGAACTAAGGGTATGGGTATGATTGGACAAGGCAATGACGGACGTATTCGAAATATTCAAATAGATCAACGTACAAAAGCCAAACTTTCCGCAAAGAACAAGGGGTGGGGTACTTCGACTCCTATGAGTGGTTCCGCATCATCACTTCGAGGATTTGGTCAATCAGCTGGTAATATAGATTTACGGGGTAAAGGCTTAAGAGCATCAGGTGTAGGAGGATTGAGTACTAGTACTGGAGCTAGTGCAGGAACTGCTAGTAGTTTGGCATTTACGCCAGTTCAAGGATTAGAATTGGTAGATCCAAAGAGAGTGGCAGAAATGAAGAGAAAGAGGGCAGCAGAAGAAGATAAATGGTTTAAAGGTGGAACTTTTACTCAAGTTGGCAATGGTGGTGGTGATAGCAGTATGGGACCTCCTCCCAAGAAAGTAGATTCTGGTTCTGGTAAAATGGGTCCACCTGCATTGCCGAAGAAATCGTAAAGAGGGTGGGTCGGATCCTATAAGTTGGAAAAGGGAGTTTGAGGAGAAGGGAGCATTATTATGGCGTTTTGGGGGCGGATAGGTGTTTTACAATACCATAACAAGCAGAGTTTTTGCTTATCCAATGAATGGGCGGAAATTGAAGAATGTAAGATTGTTTCAGATCACCAAATGCTTGCAAATAAATTGATACGGTATTCATTGCCTGATGACAATGCTGACAGCAGTTCACATTATTTTTTCGCCCAAATGTTCATCTTGCAATCAAGCTCAAGTCTACTCCACGACCGTACTCAATCCCGCGTAGCTTCATACTACTTCTTTACGTAGCTCATACTACTTTTAACAATGCGTTGACATGCTCCTCAAGAAGCTTCTCTACCATAACATTCATTCCGTTTTCAAGAAACAATTCCGATCAATCTCCAAACTCACTCAAATGACATTTCTTACTGGCTCATTTACCATCTGGACCCTACATGCAATGTTGTCTATCCATCGAATGATCATTAAATACAGACCATTTCCATCATGCCTATGTTTTGCTTCTAGTCACCGAGCTACCAGTATGAAGTCAAGCTCATTTGGTTCATCTGCCTGCCACGATCGATCCAACGAAATGGCATTGATCCGAACCTCTCGAATTGGACCTCTTATAGTCATGCCCTAATTGTCAAGGATAATTGGATCTGAAGGACCCACATCTTCATCTCTAAATTTCTCGTGATTGCCAGATCAATTGGGTAAAAGGCGAGGGACAACAATTCCCTCCCCCCAATTTGTCTCATCTTACCCATATACATTACCTTATGCTATCTCTTTAGCTCTGAATAATGGCCACTTATACCTACAAGCAACCGCAATCCGAAGACAACGTCGGTAAGTACAAGTAGGTCATACTCAGGTTCGTAGCCAGCACCACGTACAGGTAGAGATTCGTCTTTGCTGGCCTCCCCCGCCGCATCCATACGATGCCCATATCCATCCACCTATCTCCCTCGTCTATCCTACAGGTACTTATGGTTCCCAAGCCATTCTACCTCCGCTCCACTCAACCCTCCCCTTAGGTAACTTGCAGGTTCCCAAGCCTCTATCTACTCATCCCCTTAGGTAACTTTCAAACAGGTTCCCAAGCCTTGTCTATCCCCATTTACCACCAGTAGCCACGGTTGTCACCATTCCTAACCACAGGATCCAGTCCTATGGTGATGTTCTTCATGACATCCCTCATGGTTTTCCACCCAGAGACACCCTTCTGGGCTCTGCGAATCCCATTCGTAACCACTTTTTGAGCTCTATGTAGCTCTTTGTAAACATCCGGTGCATTCCTGGGGCACACAGCCGGGACGGTCTTCTTTGGTAAGACCCAGGTGCTACGAAGAGCAGGCGGAAGTAGGTTTTGTCCATCGACCCAGGTATTGTAGTCCTGGGCTCGTTGTTGGAGCTCCAAAATCTCCGGCTTGAGTGCTGAAGGGCACTTCAAGCATCTTCCCCGTTGGTCCCGGCAGTATGTGCACTTCGCATCGGCCTTCATGGCAATAGCACGCCGGCTTGCCTGGTGAAGGATGCAGCGCGAGGTAGGATCGAGGGCCACTTTCGACACGCAGCGCACACAAGTTGGGGTGGGCTCGATGGGTGCCGGGGGGCTGTTTCAGATATTAGTCAGTTTTATTGTGTGGAATTGGTTGAAACAGATGAAAGGATTAGGTATCTAGGTCATTATCAAACGTTGAATATAGTATAAACTGTTGCAGAGACGAGATAAATTAAGCAATTTCTCTTACGGTTGAATATTTGCCATTGTGGCAGAAGGACTAAGCACCGAAAGAACCAGGAAGGTAATGCGGCGATGGAGAATCAGGAGGATAGCAGAGGCGCAAGGTGAAAACAAAGAAAGGAAGCAGAAAGGCAAGAATCAAAGATTGCGTGGGAGAAACGTCGAATTCCGAGTAAATACTCGAATTTTTAATCTTTGTTATTGCTAAAGAGTTCAAAAGAGGTCAAGGAAGGCAGTAAGTTAATAAGAGAATTAAATTGGCACGTGTTTTGATTGATTCAACTATTGCACCAATTACAGGTTTTGCTTAGTCGCTTAGGGAAAATGCCCCTCGAGGGGGGAACATTAAGTTGATGGGAAGTCAATCAATCATTTGACTAAAAACAACTTTGTAGATTTGATGTTTATAAATAATCTAATCTCGAGAATCTGAGTTGATAGTCGTATAATTGTGTTTGACGTCCCTAGATCATCCTGTCACTTGGTGATTGTATTCATCTAATGACTTTGATTGATATGTCTAAATTGTCAAATAATGGATTCATTCGTCTCGTAACCTTATGTAAACTACTTGATATGTCTTTAGGGTTCTTAGAGCTAGATAAAGGTTCTCTTACATACCTCAAATTCTAGTTAAAATGTCTCAAGTGTCTTGATAACAGCTAGGAGATTACTAAATGTCTTTCGACGATAGTTATTACAACTTTAGCAACAAGTTGACAGTTGAGTTTGCTCTGTTGGCACTCGGCTATAAATTCAGTTCTTCAACATTTCAAAATCTGAATATTTCACAAAGTTCTTTCCTCTTTAAGCTGCGTCTTATGGGCCGAGACCTTGTAAGTGTTTCTTTCTTATTCTAAAAAGCTGTTATTTCTCTCGAGTAAGATCTAAAAGTCGAACCTGAAGTTTTGTAATCCACTTAATGATCTTATCTCTACATCTTTGTATCTTTAGACGATACTATTGACATATCTATAGAGCTACTATGAGATAACTGTCTACTACAATGTTAAACTTCAGATGACAACAGTTGGAATTCCCGGCCACATTTAATGATGACTATGAAAATACACTATCTTGTGATAAAAATACACATAAATTCTTTATTACATATATTCTGTCTATTTTTTACAATGATTACTTGTTATTAGATAACTTTCAGACAGGTATCTTACATACTGCAGATATTTCAGATACTACTCGCTAATGAATATCGACAGATTGTAATTCCTATCATAAAATCATATCAATGTCAGATTCAATATTCATAACTACCTAACTAGAGTTAAATTATACACTGACGATAACATTCATGATCCTACTATGAAAACCAGAAGCAGTTCATGCCAAGATTACATATATACTCTATACATCTTCCTCTTTCCTTTTCGTATCAACTACACGCTAACCACCTCCTCCAAATCTTTCAACCCTGTTATATGTTTTGTACACCTCCATAAATATACTCTAATACGCTAGCAACACCAAAGCCTCCATTTCATGCCTTGTATTTTCATATCACATAGGAGAGGTGAGGTGTCGAGAAGCCCCGCAATTTAAGCGAATATAGCTCTGGAAGCCGAACATACTCATTTGACTACTAAGCGAATGCATGATGAAGATATTACTATTCTCAGGTCATACTGCACTGTAAGAAGGTGATGGGTTTTCATATTTTGAAAATGAGATTGATAAGTAAGTCGGGAACAGAGCCTCTTGGGAACTTTTGGTACTTCGAAAGATGTCGTGAAGATGTCGTGAAGATGTCGTGAAGATGTCGTGAAGATGGATGGGAATAAGAGCTAGGATCTAATTAGTCCTATAATCTATCTCTATTGTATAGAACTTTAATGGTCAAATTCGATATATTTACTGTAGTTACCAAATCAAGTCATTCATACCAATCATCTTATACCTTTCTTGTCTCCAAAACTGTACGATTTTCCACAACAACAGAAAATTCTTTCATATCATATCTCTAGTTATCCCTACCAGGTATTCACATTTTCTCCGCAGGAATTAAATAAAAGAATAAGTTGCGAGTTTATAGACCAATTATTACAAGCCTTTGACTTGAATATGATCAGACAATCGATCATACTCCCCAGGAGCATGAAAGAGGTATGCCTCTACGTCTTGAAAAAACAATAGTTTATTTTTATTATTTCATATTTGAGGTGGTAGAGATGTGTTGGGAGGAATTCGTATCTTCTATATGTATTGGGACCTGTACTTTTCTTTAAATACAAATGAAACACTTTACTAATTTATCATCTGCATGAAGAAATAAATAACAAAGATAAAACAAAATGAACAACCACCCGAACTCTGAAAAATATTCTAATAATCATCAACCCAAGGAGCAAGCCTCAAATCAACAAAATACCAGAAGATTGAAATAATCACCAGCCAATCACCCCTAATTCTATCCCAGATTTCCAAAGGTATCAACACAAATTTAGTTCAGCAGTTCAACATCTAGATCTACCAAGAGAAAACCAAACAAGCTGCCTGGAAATTACAATTCCCTCTTCTCAACAAAACCAAAAAACACAAAAAACACAATTCAACAACATATGTTATACTCTCATCTGAATATATTCGAATTGCCTGCTATGATATTACCAACTCAAGCTTAAACTTGATGAACTATTCAAATAACTAACCGAAGAGAAAGAAAAAACTTCGGATGAAAGAAGAGTGGATATATTTTACATACGAGAACACGGAGATAGATATCATCGCAGAAGATAGAAAAGAGGTGAGAGATGGAAAGAAAAATCCGCGTACACCAGACTCAACAGGCTCCAGAGAATTTCATTAAAGACTTCTATGTTGAAAATAACGCAAATGAATCAAGATGATATGTTTTACAGGAAATCAGATATGTTATGTTGTGTCCACTTAAATAGCATCATGCTCTGAAAGAATGATAGAAAGAAAGAAAATTATATCATTCCACTCATTCCACTCACGCTACCCATCCATCCCACCACATCTCAACTCCAGTAATCTCACCACACTGAATAGATGAGATGTCTTACACCCATCTCCACCCCGTAGACTTTGATAAAGATGGAAGGATAGGTTGTGTAGTTACTTGACATACATACAATATACAGTAAGGATATCGGATATCATGCTTTCCCTCATATAGTCTCATTTCATATTTTCCTCCCAAAATAGCAACAGCAACAGAAACAACGTCGAGGATGTCACGCGAAATTCCTTGTCCATCTTATATCTTATATATCACATCTCCAATCTCTCATCTTCCATTTCCTACTTTCTTGAACCCTTCACATACTCTATCCATCCCCATCCACAAAATTTTAAATCCCTAATCCCCTCTCCCCCCCCCAAAATCAACCACATAACCGAATTACCAATCACCAAATAACCCTTTCAAAACAAACAGAAATTACCAATTCCACCCCCTTTTTCTTCCCGAAGTCTACAAACCCATTACCATATCAAATCTGCAAATTCCATCGCGCAGCTACTAACTAGCCACTACAAACCCATCTCATCTCATCTCGTACTTCCTCGAATTTTTTGATTTTCCTTGTCATAATATATCATATCATATCATATTATGGAATTGAACATCTTCTCTATATACAAATCACATCACATCACATCACATCCATCCATACTCCTACATCCCGATATCCAAAAAGAAATATATCTCATCTCGCTAATCCCTAATTAACCATCTCTTTCCTTGCCATATTCCCCTTTCTCCTTCCTCATCCTCTTTACCACCCCCCCCTCCTCCTCCCCCTCCCTTTCCTCCTCTCTCGCCCCCACGTCGCCCCTTCTCAAAACAACTACAAAAACCGTAGATCTTACCTCACTCACTCCAACTCCAACTTCACCCTAACCTCGCCCAACCCACACACATCCCGCACCCATCTCGCACACAGACCGATCCTACCCACCTCAACCCACCTTATCCGCAACTCGCCCCTCACAAGATCTCTGACCATCTCTGACCATCTCCCCTCACTATTTCCCATTATCCCCATGAACTATCTGGTTCACTACCTCAACTAACTACCTCTACTAACTACCTCTACTAACTACCTCTACTAACTACCTCTACTAACTACCTCTACTAACTACCTCTACTAACCTCCTTACGTATCCGTCCTATCCTACCCTATCCATTCCATCCATCCCTCACCTTCCTATTCTAGTAATATACCTCTTTCGTTAAACTTCATACCTCTTTCATCACACCCTATGTCCTAAACCCTCTTCATCACATCACATCCTAACCCTATACTCTCTCCATGACATCCTAAACCTAAACCCCATCCACCATTCCCTATCCATAAACAAGTAAGACATACAACATACGACATACAACTCACAAACTAATAACCTAATAACCCAACAACCTACCAACCTACCAATCCACAACCCGCAACCCCCAACAATTAGCTCCCCAACTCCCCAACCTAACAACTTAACAACTTAGATCTCCCGCACTACCATCTCACTACCATCCCACTACCATCTCAACACGGCCATCTCAACACCACCCCAACTCACAGACACACACCCCCTAACTCCAAAGCAAGCAAGCAAGCAAGCAAGCATCGCAATACCGTACGACTTGCCAAACAATGACATCTAGCTTCCTACCTCCCCAACTCAGACCCAATCCAACCCAACTCATTGTACTACACCATACGATACCACACTATACCAACCTAATGACTTAAGAATACGACATGATCATCACAACACGAATCACAACACGAATCACAACACGAATCACAACACGAATCACAACACGAATCACAACACGAATCACAACACGAATCACAACACATCACATCACATCACCAAACCAGACCAAACCAAATAAAATCACGGTCATAACAAAAAAACATAAACATAAACATTTCCGTTATTCCCGAAGCGCGCGAAGCCAAAAAAAAAAAAAAAACTTTCAAGAGAAAAATATGGAGAAATACGGTACTTACTTGCCTAGTAACTTTGTAAGCAATCACTTGAAATGTCAAAGAATTAGTGAAGAAGAAAGTACCGGTCGGTAGTGATTGATCTTCCACCACGCACCGTAACGTAGCATGTATGTCTGTAAATGTATGCGATACTTCCTCTTCTCATATACGGAGCTCTCCATAGTTTCTCATCTCTCATCTTTCTTTTTTCCCCTTCTCTCTCTCTGAACCTCAATCTCAATCTCCGCATCTACCTCTTCATTTACCTCCCGCTCCCTCTCCATCATCATCCGCGTCCAGATTCCCATCCAAATTGCCATCCCAATCCCCATCCCCCAACCCGCTCCGACCCCTACAATACCCTCCCCACCAACCCTAAACAAGCAACTCCAACCTACAAACTCTAACCAAACCCCATCATCGCATCTTCCGCGCCACCACCACCATCACCTAAACATCTGCACTCGCCGCATATCCCCTCATTCGTGCATCATCGGAAGCTTACACCCATCAATAGTCCCTGCGCCATCTAGACTTACCTCCGCCGACGATACTAAGAAAACCCTCCTGCAAGCCTGACTTCTCTTAGCCTCCGATCCCAACTCCGACGCTGACTCCGATTCGAGACTATTGGTTCGGCGATACTCATGCAATGCCATGCATACCGCACGCACCATTAATAGGTCAGAGAGAGTGGTGCGCCGATATAACTTAATTTTTTTAGCTTCACATACGTATTGTACCGGTCGGATGGACCGTGAGATCGGACTTTATGTTACGATATGTACCGACATCAAGTCGATAATAGATAAAGTGAAGAGAAATAAGAAGTCGATAAAAAGCAACAAAGTCTAAATTGAAGTTTGATTGTGTGGATCGTGGGTTGGTGGATGGTGATTGGTGATTGGAGGCTGGGAAGTGGACAAAATAGAGTTTAAGCCAGGAGTTGGAGATCGAACCACTGTGGGGGAGACCACTGATCACAAATTGGTCCAGAACTTCAAATTAATTAACCTATTTTACTTTAATCTGTAACTCTACTTGATGTACTTTTTGTAACATTGATGAATTTGTGAATGAGCCTTGACAGTCACATCAAAGCTTTGAACGTAGTTGGGAGTATCGAAGCAAGCTTTATGGTAAATATGAGTGTACTGACGACGAGCACTTGATACACGTTATTGAAACGAACACTGGGCACATATGCCTCCAAACTTTCAAATGTGGAAATTCTGCCTTGGCCATCATCTATTCGCACGGCGCACTATGACGTGATACCACAAGCAACAAAGTAAACAAAAGTTGACCTTGGTGAATTAAACCTGCAATTCAAATATATTTGCACTTGTTATTAGCTATACTGAAATGGCAATAATATTGCCAATGAATGGCTTATTTGCCTCCTGCAGATAGAAAAAGGCACATCCATTCATACCTCGAAACAAGAGAAGTAAACATGGATGATTCTGCAATGATTCTCCCGAATCAGAAGTTCAATTCGCATACCAATGCAGGCCAAGAACGCTTCAAAAAAGTACAAGTTCCGTATCATTTTTCGGCATACCTCTGAATGGTCCCTCTTACCTATATGGGAAAGTCATAGAGATATTCCAAGTCATAGATATCATGCAGTATGATGTTGAAGGATGAATCAACTAACACGATACTAACTAATGGACGCCTAAAAAGAACGACAGGATCAATGGAACTACCTTAAACCCGGGTCGGGCCACCAGTTCAAACTATCGAAAGGGACCTCAACTACAATCAGTCGAGTTGCTTGGAAATCGAAGTTGACCGGTGAAATTTGTGGTGAGAAATTAGTTTATACACAGCGTCAAAATAATTTCGCCGGGTTCTTTATGCGTACATATCAAGCGTTACAATGAGAAGAGAATGATTGGATATTGAACATCCGAATTCATATACATCATGAAGTACGCCACCGTTCTAATACTTAACGGCTCACGCCGTTGATTGATTTCGTGAAAATTTAGTCAAAAAATTGTTCAAACTACATAAACTCTGTTTATGTTGTAACCCGAAAAGTATATCTTCCAAGAACTTTGACATACAACCTATTATCGACACGCATAAGTTATAACTTTCAATGTCAAATTCTTGACGGAAGCAATTCACCATTCCGCTTGTTGCAACGTTGCAACACAACTTTCTTTGACATCACGTTCGTAAATTCATGTTGAACGGCATCACCCTAACACTCTACCACAATCCCTGGTATTCGGTACCGATTTGGATCGGAAAGGAACTTTAGTCAAGTCACTCTAAAAGACCCTTCAGATTGGCGGGAGATGGTAGTTTCGTAACAACATTGTAGTGCTGTGTGATGTAACCAATTGTTTGGAGGATGTTGTAATAGGATAAATGAGGGGTAATTATGTTAGATTGAGTAGTATTATTTGTACAACACTAGTTGGTATTCTCTTTGATAATTACATGTTTCTTTTTAATTCCATTGACAGAAGGGGAGAGGAATAGCTGTTGAGAAATCGCGAAAGAAACTTTTCTTTTCCGAGACATTGGACCATTGAATGATAGAGGCTCGAGAGAGTTTAGATTTCATGATACTTTTGGGATGTGATATCGATAAGAAAGACATTACAAGCTTGACTGGTGATAGATCTGCAAACCTAGAAATTCATACTTATGAATGAGCGACCTATTGATAAAATTAAACCGCCCGTCCATACCATCCCGTCCGTTCAAACTCCAAGGGTCCAATATACATAAAGGGTCTGTTCACCTTAGCACTCACGTACAACCTCCGTAAAGTTTATCGCGACTCCAAATTTCACAGCCATACATTGATCAAATCCCCTCCGAGATACTTCCGCAGAGTAATGTCACACATGGGAGACGTTAGAAGAATTGATGGAAATGTGACAGAAATGCATGTGGTAGATGTTGTGTACGTAGATGTTGTATACTTATAAATCTGTTTTAAATCGGCATTGGCGACTGGCGATCTTGCGGGATACACACGTGAAGAGTTCCCAGCCGCTATAGGTTGGTTGTGCCACTCGGCTTTGTATGCGATTGTTGACGGCTGAGTTTGAAAAATGTTTGTAGATTGGTATTGGTTGGAAAGGATATGGTGTGAGGATACTATTTAGATGTTGTATAAAATGCTTGAGAACAATGAATTGAACTGAATGCTTTTGCAGGTTTTGCGTAAAACATACCAAAACACATACCTTGTGGTTGATATCAAGTATACATACGCTTGATCGATACGTAAGATTACTTTAACCTTGGATATCGTATCTGTGTGATATCTAGGTACCAGTGTCGTACTCGGTTTAACTGGGTCATGGACACTTTCCAACTGATTGAGGTTAATGGATAATTGAGACTTCGTATCAATTAAATCAATTCAAACTTTAGAAGTATGAGTGGGATCAGTCAGACTCGTCAGACTCATCATACGATATCTGAGGTAATTTCTATCAACCTTTCTGTATTAGTCATATATTATTCAGCAACCATGTGATCACATCTCATCGACGCATCGACGCCATGAAGGTGAGCTTCTCTTTTTCTCTTCTATCGTCGATGATTGAAAAAATTAGATGAAACATCCGTCCCGCCCAGTACATCATTTTAATATTTTTTTTTCTCCCTCGGGCGGGTCCTCCTCTTTCAATCGGATTTGACTCAGATCATCGTCATAGGGGATCTCGATTTCTCCAAACAAGCTTCTAGAAAAATCTTTCGACGATATAAAATAAAAGATCCCCTCGCATTTTTTTAATCGAACCCACACCGAATCTCCTTCAGAGTTCCAACTATGCCACGTTATCAAGCAGAGTTAGAAACATGGTACTTGGGTCCTCATGAAAACGTTCTTTTGATCAGAAAATCAATGGTAGATCTTATTGTAAAGCCAATATTGACTGAGTGGACTCCACCGGATCACGATGACTTTCTGACCATTTTCCGAGTATCATACCCTTATTTTCAAAATGCATCGACGATGAGGCTCGCATTAGGTTTAACGTTGCTCTGCCCTGTCAGCTTCAACATCATCTAGAACGCACTCTGACTAGGATTCGAACTTTAAACACCGACCATCCCTTGTCTTGACTAGGAAACTCCAGGGCCCATGCTCCACCGATTCCACCAGATCACGTTTAGAGGACGAGAAGCGACCGGGGATGAGTAATGCTCCACTCCATGATCCGCTCTCCAACCGCTTTCAAAGGGAATTTAGGGAAGGGATTCGAGGGAAGTTCTCATTCTCATACTCATCCAGGATAAGAGCTGTAAGCAGGTGCCCAAGTAATCTTCCTCCCCGACTAGGGATATAAAAATATCCTGGTCTCCTGCTCTGCTCCACTGCTCCCCTGCTCCCCTGATATCCTGATTCAAAACGAAACCCCTCATATGCATGATGCTCATTGCTCATATGTATGCGAGTGTGTTAAGCTTCTCCATATCCACGATGATACACCCGTTTTCTCGATCGACTTTTGTCCGTGTGACGTCAGGGGAATTGCAGAATCCCATGTTTGGATATCTGCCTATCTCCATCTTGGGCTTGGGGTGGAGAGTATAATGAGAGACATTATTGTGACTCTTTTTGTCTCGACTCGTTTTTTTTATATTTTTGATTCTCTGAGTCGGAGTAGGAGAGGGAGATCGATCACATAAGTCACTTTATGGATAACTTCATTTCTTACATAACATTTTAACTTTTGATCCTTTTCATCTCCGTCCGCCGTGCCTAATATCTATGGAAATTACTTTGATCTGGATTCATCTTGATTCAAATCATCCTCATCATAAAACTCCCAAGATCTACGGCACTTACTGATGAATTATTCACCGTTCTTGGGTGGCGTCTGAAGAATACTTAGCCAAGTAGACAATTTCAAGAATACTCGCGAAAAATCATAACATACAGATAGATACACAATACAACAGCACACACACACATATATACATCCATCCATCCACACATCCACACACCTCTTCCCTTTTCATTAAAAAAAACTTTAAAGGGTCCGCTGCCCAGAAACCTCAATCCCTAAGCTAAAGTTAACGAGTGCGTGCGCGTTTCGGCATCATCGGCTTAGTTTATCTATCGACGCAACAGATACCTTTCATACCATGTCAAAGTCCAAGCTTCTTGTTCCTGGCTGATGGAGCAACGGGTCCCCCAAATTGCGGATGACTGAACAAGCAGGCAGTCATCCGCATCTAATCATTTTGTTGCTATACCATTTCAAGTAGTATTTCCTACTTTGGGTCATGTAGGTTGTCACTCTGTAAGTACGTACCCGCTCGGGGGTTTTCTACCGGGATTTGGTTTTTCTGGTTTTTGGAGATGTTGTATGTTGTGGATTGAATGTTGTATGTTGTACAAGCTCTTGTGTTTGTATAGGCTGTCGATTAGTGAGTGATTTGAAAGCCTGATGGATGATGAAGGGTCAACCACCAAAATTCAAACATCGATAAATTTCTCGACATTGAGAGAAAGAGAGAGAGAGAGAGATGAAATCACCAAATACAACGGAGGAATCTCTCCGCCACAATTTACTACATCCTGGAATATGACTCAAAGCATAGGAGAGATAAATTCAAACACACATGGTAGGGTCTTTGACTTTGTATGACAATAGGTGATTGTTGAACGCATATATGTGAAGAGGAAGTTTCTTTCCAAAATTAAACAAAAAAAGTTGGCAAGAGTTGTGGTCCGCACAAGTTACACAATCGTGATGTAGAGTCGAAGGCGAGAAAGCATCATTATCTACGATCATTTGGCGTGGGGCAGAGGCGGAGATGAGTCCGTCGCTCCTATCTACCTATCGGAGTTTTTTGATTAATTGAAGGCGGGCGAGAAACTTCAACTTCAACTTCAACGTCAACGTCAAGATGGGCACGATATAGGTAGGAAGAAAAAATCACGATGTTTTTCGCGACGACGAGGTGATGTAAATCGTTTGTAGATGATCTCGAAAGGATTTTACATCATGTGCAATGCAAGTAAATGACTTTAGTAATCAATTCAATTGGTACTCAATATGACATATATATGTATTTAAGAACCCAAACCCATAACAGAGGGGTCTGAGTTACTGATAAAACCCACCCGATATAATCTATCATTCAAATAACAGGCAATGAGAGCATAGCATAGCATAGCATAGCATAGCATATGCATCCTCGGATCTACGAAGGACATAAAAAAAAGACTGTGTAACAAGAGGCAATATTGCATCAACCGATATTTTCAAACTCACAGTTTCATCTAGGCTGTACTGTACAGGTCACACGGGATACGATACAACGAAGGAGATATCTCCGCTCGCAGACAGGCTCGCACGGTAAAGAGGATGAGTGTTGTATGCATATGTATGAAAGCGGATGCGGAAATCCGTCTTTGCGCATCCTTGGTGGAAAAGGAAAAAGAAAAAAGGCTTTCGCGCGTGGGGGAGCTGGTGAGGATTGAGCACGGAGGAATATGGATAGGGGTGAGAGGAGGTGAATGGGTGAGATGATATGATATGATGATCCCGAGAGCCTTATGTGGTACAGATTACATGTGTGTATGTATGTGTGTGTGTGTGTGGGGAGGTATATTTCGTAGGGTGGTACGGAGAATTGGTGATACATGTGATAAGTGATAGAGAAGCGGGAATGTGAGGACGTACGTGCGAGAGCTCTCCCGTCTCGTCTCGTCTCGTTTTCAGGCGGACCCTGTTTGAGATGTATGTGTATGTGTTTGGTGCGAGGACGAGGGAGCAAAATGGAAAGAAACTGACCAAACGGATCAACGCAACGAGGGAGCAAAACGGAAACTGACCAGACAGATCAACGAGACGAGATGAGCGACGAACAAGAATTTCTTGGAAAGTGGGCCCCTGGCATAGAAGCAGGTGGAAGGGAAGGAAGGAAGGAAGGAGGAAAAGAAAATTCGGGACCTAGGTAATGGGTATGGTGTACCGGTCCGTTGGCGAGGTAGATCTAGGGGTCTAGCTGAGATAAATACAGAGATCTACCATGTCAGCCTGTGAGATCTTTGGAAAAGGGCTGGGAGGGGTGTAGTGGGAAAGTTAGATATACCTGGGTTACGGAGGACTTAGCTATGGACAAGAGGATATTTAAGATGGGAAAGTTTCGTGCGGTTCGACTAGTTGGTGGTTTCAACTGGGGGATACGAATACGTTAGGTTAACGATGATTGAATTTCATATTTTCCGATAGTATGGTATGGGTTTGGATTTTAGTAGATTGGTATGTGCTAGAGAATTTTTTATCATGAGTGAATACCTAGATAGACGGATGGACGGATGCTTCTTAGAGGCAAATTTATCTTATTTTTATCCCTTGGCTCATATGTATCTATGACGGGGCCAATACACTGAAACATGATGACTTCATTCTTCATGGCTTAACTTTTCACTCTCTGGTACGCTCGTGAAGAGAATGGATTGCGCTTTGTAATGTAATGAAAAGTATCATCCATTATACGTGTATGTGTGTGTGTTGTAAGGTATTATCAAAACGCCGCGAGAATATTCACGCAAGTAGCAAAATGTATATCTACCAGATCTCCATATATTTACTTTTACTATATATACATTATAGCTAACCTAAATGCCTAAATACTAGGTGTCTATCTAAGCATTATACTTTAACGACGGGGAAGAAGAAAAGATGAATGCTGTACCACATGTGCTTTGTACGGCGGAGACGCCATCGCAATGTTTTAGGAACAAAGTGGAGTGGAACATCGCCTTTCATCTACTGGGACGTCGGGGAGAAAAGATAATATGATGGGATATTTCGGCATTGGGAAATGGTAATGGTGATATGACCCTGGTTTTTTTATTTTTTGGGGGGGGGGAATTTTTACGAGATGCTAGATACTGACTCAGGAAAATATTTGTAGTAATTGCCTTATTATCATTATTATAACTTGGTGTTCAAAAAGTTAACTTTTCTTACTATTGACTTGGGAGATCTTAGATGAGAGTTTAAATGGGTGAGAAAAATAGAGCACGGGACCAATGGGTTATAGTATAGTATCTCTAGGGCGTGAGTTGGTGTGTGAAGTAGAAAGATTAAAAGGGTGCTTGGGAATTAAAATTCGTTTCGTTGGGGATTAGCTGCTTGGGAATAGATAGATGGATAGATAGATAAATGGATGGATGGATGAAGAAAAGTTGGAACTGGGAAGGGAAGGGAAGAGGTTCTGGGTTGGGGATCGAGTGGTAAAGTTGTAATGGTTACGATATGTCAAATGGATTTAGTCCGATTAGCAACGTTTTAGCATGATGGCTCGGGAGGATGGTTAGCAATGATTAACAACGATTGGCAACGATGACTAGATGCTAGATACTAGATAGCTAACGAGTAGCGAAGTACGATAGCTCGGATTAAAATAATCATCGGTCGGGATTTAGACGGCTTGATGGTTATACTTCTTCCGTCCGTCAGTCTGTCTGTGCCTGCCCGGGTACTCAGGCAGAATGAGTGATTGGGCTGGGTGGCTGGGTGACTGGGTAGATGGATCGTGATGTGTAGCATGGGAAAATGAACATCCATCATGTAGGTTCCTTCTTATGCATCTGATTGAATATACGCAGTACAGCACTCGTACAGGAAGGCCGTGCATCAAGGCGTGTTTGTATGGATTCGTTTGACGGTTAAGGTTGAAAGTCGATACTGTACCCAGAAGGACGACATCGAAATCTATCATTTTGTGAGTAGTTGACCAGCAGTCAAGTACCTACATCTTACCTACATCTTACTACATTTCACCTACATCTCACATCCAGAATAGGGTTTCCGATGCATCGAAGTTGCTATCGGGCTTAGGCCCTACTCATCGATTTACCTGCCTATCTAATGGCTTCTAATTTTGTGCTTAAACCCAACGCAGTCAAGTTGGCATTCTTCATCCTCTGGCTTGGGTAAAGATTGTCATATATGTACCGTATCCTCTTGTTTCCCAGGACCCCGGTCGAAACCTTTACCAGAAAGAAAAAAAAAGACATAATATACGAAAGAGACGCTACTTATTAACTTGGTACACTGATTTATATTATTGCCTAGGTATTTAGTATAGTTATATACTACCGCTACCGCTACCGTATATCATATCACATACTATACCACATACACATACACACACACACACCCACACCATAATACCACACCATAATACTACGCACATGACATAATACAAACCCTTCTGGGGAATTTCTTTTTCTCCCCCTTGTATTCTTTAGGGATAATATTCATCAGATTCCCACTTTCCCATTTCTGTGCCCCACCAATATTTCCAACATTTTTTGATTTTTGAACCCTTCCCCTTCCTTGAACCCTTTTCGATTTGACCCTTCATTATTCATCCCTAGTCATCCCTGGTCATTCTCTTAATCCCAGTTTCCACTCCCACTTATCCACATTAAAATTGGAATAAAAAAAATAAAAAGAAACTAAAGTAAAAAAAAATTAAAAAAATTAAAAAAATTTCATCAACTGCTCAGGCACATTTGACTCTAAGGAAAGGGACCCATGTGTAATACGTCCCAAAGCCAAATCCCATATCTTTCTTAGGAATCCCATCTTATCAATGACCCAACCATCCCCTCACCTCTTTATATTCCGAAAAATATATCTCTGAGAAATTTACTTATTATCTCTTCTTTGAAGAACAACGTTCAATTCACATCCAAAAGAAATCAAAGTCGACGAGAGGTCTCTCAATTCTTTGCTTACGATATAAAAGATATCCTTCCTATCAACACTTACTCTACCTACCATCAGAAGATTATCTCGACTTTTCATCACCTCACGACCGTCAAACGCATCCACGGTACAATTCCATTATCGCTGATAGTTACTACCTCGCTACCTCGCTATCTATCTCTCCACCTCCTTCATCAGACTTCTACTCAAACTATTGAGGAGTTCTTACTGTCAACCTACTTTGAAATAGATATATTGACTCAATCCTATATCTTTCCTCGTCAATCAATCAATCAATCATATTTATATGCTTGTAATTGAGAATTTGAACCATACCAATTCAACTCAACACACCCATCATCGATATCCTCTTACCTCCCACTTTTACATGTACTCGAGATTGTCTACTTCAAATTCGAATATCATTGTTCAATAAAGTAGCTTCAATCTTTCATCTCCTCTAATTAATAGTAGAATTTTTGTAATTCTTCTCACACTACTAATACGAATTCCAATTCAATTCGCATTCCACCAGATTCATCACAATGGCTTCCTCAAGAAGACCTAGCATGAAGGGTAGAGATTCCTCGGGTCGCGAAGTTTCCTTATTAAATTCCTCCACGACGGAGATAACTCCCTCTCCCGTACCACAATCTCAATCGCAATCACAATTACCACAATTGCCTTTCAGACAACCTTCATACGATTCATATGCATCGCAAAGATTCCCTCAAAAATCTTACCCACCAAGCTCTCCTCACATGGTTCGAACGAATTCCAACGCTTCGATCACAAGTCTTAATTCGGTCCCAAGTTTATTACGCTCGGATTCTTACGATTCGTATGAAGCACGGTCACCACTTACCCCAACCTTTACACCCAACGCTCATGGAAGAAATCATTCTTTCACCGAGCAATACGGAAAGGAAACCCCATTTTATGAGCGTAATTCCATGGACGAATATCGTCCTTACTCCACACAAAAACCTTATCAATCAACAAACGTACAACAATACCCCGACGAACAATATTATCATGAGGATGCTTCTTACCCAGGAGTTACTGAACGTGGACCTGGAAAACGCTACTCGTGTCGATACAAGGATATGCACAACTGCACCAAAACTTTCACCACCTCCGGTCATGCATCTCGGCATGCTAAGATTCATACCGCCGAGAAAATGGTGTGCTGCACATTTACTGGATGTATGAAGAAATTTACCCGAGCGGACAACATGAAGCAACATCTTGATACTCATTACAAGGACAAGCCTAGATCTGCATCGAGCAGCGCACCATCGAGTGGTAGATTGAATGGAAAGTCGACACTTACCATGCCTGCCAGAGTACAAAAGAAAGCTTCTCCATCAATCCACAACTTGCAATCTCCAAGACCTAGGATGCCATCTCGAATCTTGACTTCTGAGATCCCTGCATTCGATTTAAAGGATCAACAACAATTTCAACCCCAACAAGACTCATTCTACACTCAAATGGGATCGGGTCCTTCGCCTACCCAAACAGATTTCCAAACTCTACCTACCAGATCCAAACGTCCCAATCGTTTGGATATATTAGCTCAAGCAGCATCGGGAGACATGATTTAATTGGCAATTCTTAATATCTTACCAGTTATGGGGTCTTCAAAACAAACTAGAGTTGTACAGAACCATAACTTTTGCGTCTGGATCACCGATTTCCTCTCCCCGCACCAGTCTATGCTTTCAGCATATGCAGGTTGTATTGCATATTTTGGAATACTGCATGAAATGCTTCTCCACATCTCATCGTATCTCGATTCTTTTGGCAATTCTTGGCTTCCAATCTGTTCTCATTGGATGCAAAGGAAGAAAGAAGAGTGGCAAATGTATATTGAATGCATTTAAAACTGCATTTGATTTTGGTTTTGGCGTTTTCTTCCCGTCGGTTAATTTGTATGCCGTGTTGGTACCGTTTTTTTCGGATGGTCTCGGGCTACACATTTACCCGATTCTTTCCAAACTTATCGGGTCTTCGGCTTGGGTGGTGGATGAGATGGTGATGCAAAAAGTTACTTGACTTTCACTTCTCTTCAAGTATATACCATTTTTTTTTAATTTAAAGGTTGTGTGCGTGTGTGTGGCAGAGATTTCTGTTACAAAGGTTCTTTTTTTATTTTTATTTTACAGTATATATATACCATGATGATGCGGGTGACGATGATTTCCTTTGGCATGGCTTGGAAGGATAGAGATGAATACGATTCTCTGATTCGGTGAATTGACTTGGATCGATTCATTATGAATGACCAGTTGATGGAATGGAATGGAAGTAATTATGTGATTTGTTTGATGTGGACGGAAAGGAGAATCAAGAGGGAATTTTTATACCAAGGCTGGATGATCTGGATTGGGAATGGGAAATTATGGAATGGATGGCTTGGCCGGGGGATTAGGGAAAAATATGATATAAAGGAGTTGAGGTTTTTTATCCTTCATTTGTTTTTTTATTTTGAGGTCTTTGTTGAGTGGTACTTTTTTGTACCTACCTCACTTACTCGTGGCATATGGCAATGGCAATGGCAATGATACCAGGTTAAACAAGTCTTGTATGTATATGAGCACGGGCTTGTCTGTTTGGGTTGGGGAGGGGAGAGAATATTGGATGAGATGAGATGAACAGGATGAGGAATGGAAGTGAGAATATTAGCATTGGGTATTGTGTGTGAGGGGAGGAGGTCAGTGAAAGCGAGATATATAATACTACTAGGTAGTTGTGTGGGGTACCAGTGTTAGGTATCAGCGATTATGAGATATAAATATAAATACGAATACAAAAAAAAAACTTTTTGATACTTTGTGATACTTTGATGAGAGTGAGACTGAGACTGATGCGAGTGAGTTTGAAGTGAGTGTGGATTGTGGGTGTGATTGTGGATGTGAGTGAACGTGGGTGTGATTTTGCGGGGGATGGTATGGTACGGGATGGTACGGGATGGGTGAGGGGATGGATGGATGGAAGGGAGGGTGATGAGGGTGATGAGGGTGATGAGGGTGATGAGGGAAGTGGGTGCGAAGAGGTTGGAGAGATGAGAGATGAGAGGTGCGAGATTGTATTATGAGTATGTAACAGTGGTGGTGATGGTGGTGGTAGTGGTGGTAATAATCATCTAGAGATGATAGGAATAACAAGGTGGGAGCAAGCTAAATCGGAGGAGAGAGGGAGAGTGAGGATGAGATTATCATGTCGTGGTATAAATTCATATACTAGGTATATATATATCATTCCAGCATTCATTCGATGAAATCTACCTCTCTAGGTAGTAGGTAGTAGGTAGTAGTTAGTAATTCGATTGCTAATATTCGTAATGCTGGAATGTTGGGATGCTGGGTAGGTAGGTAGGTAGGTAGATATACTAGGTAGGTAGATATACTAGTAGGTGGAGATACATTATGTCGGGTACCTCCTGTCTAGAAGTAAATTGGGGGTTTTAGTAAGAGCTGGGGTTTGCTGGGTGATGGGTGATGGGTGATGGGTGATATGTGATATAGGTGATATGGAAGTGGGAGGGAGGTGAGGTGAGGTGAAGATGGAAGTGAAGATGGAAGTGAAGATAGAAGGGAAATATACTAGGTAGGTAGGTACTAGGTAGTTATTCCTATGAGCATCTGGGCTGGCTTTACGTACTTTACTTTACTTTACTTTGAGATGGGTGATAGGTGATAGATAATACGGGACGGGGCTGTAGATGCTTATATATTTATAAACGATATTAAATACTTGGCAAAGCGTATTTTCGCATATGGTTTCTTTCATTTTTCCTCAAGAGAGAAATAGTCTTCAAATATATTCACTTCCACAAAAGTCAGTAGCTACCTACCTCCAGGCTGCCTATGTATTAACACCACGTGACGCACAAATATCGCTTCGATTTCGATTCCACGATCCTCTCTTTACGAATTTTAAATTTCAATTTCTGTTTCCCGAAAAGATTTTTTCTTTTACTTTGCAACAAACACGATATCATCTTGAAGTGCAACTCAGTTGGATCGTCATTTCAGATAAAAACTGTAAGTTACTTGTGATTCCTTCTTCTCCTTCTTCAATACTTCCATAAACGATATGAGACATACAATATGCGACATTCCGTTTTGCAAAGATTCGATCGATCTATGTCTTCTTCGATATTGTGGATTCCCAATGTCGAAGTTGTCGAAGTTGTCTCAAGATCGATTACGATCAGGGTTACCTAAGAAACGCGAGGATCTTGGGTTTATCTGATATACGATATATGATGAATGATGGATTTTGTATTCATGTTCGAATATGCAATGATCCCATACCATACTATTTCATTCCCCAATTCTCTAGTTCAAATCAGACAATGAATATCCTTCAAGCAAAGGACTTGATCATGATGCGCAATCTCTTCATCATCAAGATACCTACCCCATCTCATATTTCTCGCTCAATTCCATGCTGAATATTTACTAGCCCATCTTCTCAATAGATGTTCCTCGACTCATACCCTTCTACTTTTCTTTTACACCACTTGTGCTTCTTCGGGGCATAAGTTGGTGCGCACTCTCTCCCCCCCAACTGGTCTATGATCAGTAGTATTTGTTTTTTACACATACTAAATTCTTCCTTGAGACTACTCACTTCGGTAGTAGTCTCGCTGTGGTCTTTCGAGTCCACAAACCAACGAAAGAGGAGCTCTTGATTGAGTTCTTCTTTCTGAGTCTCTCTTTATTGAGTTTCTCACTCCTCTAGCGGCGTCAGAAGCTATAAAATTTTGAACCTCCTCCCACCTTCTCTTCAAAAGATGGTTCCTCCAAAGAACAATCAGGCCCCTAAGAAGGGTAATGAGGAAGAAAGTTGGAGAATTAGAACTCCTGCCAGCGCTGGACCCAATGTTGGATCTGCAAAGAAACCTAATGTACGAAAAGGTAGTAAAGGAACTTCCTCTTCGAGTCGGGTTTCAGAAGACCTGATTCTCTTCAAAGAAGATTCAACTAGACCGGTAAGTGGAAGGGACAGACCCTCTGGCCCCTATTTTAGTCAGAGAAACAGGTCCAAAAAGGTAATAGTAGTTATTCATCCGATTGAATCTACTGATAGTATAGAGGAGAGTACGACTCCAATACTTTTTGACAAGCTTTCTGCAAACTTTGATTTGTCGTCCCAGGTTCCGAAGCTCATTATCCACATGGACGAATATGCGATCAGTTTTCATGTGCATAACTTCACTCTGGCTAGTGCTGATTCTACCGTCCAAACACCAGATGACTGCCTCTTCAAGCATTTGACTTTTGGAGGCAAGAATCCTGCTAACTGGAGCATAGCTGATATTCAATCCGCGTTTGCTGATGTACTGGACACACCTGGTCTTACCTTTGACCAAGCAGTAGAGTTATACAAATTTGGAAGAGGAGTATTGAATGAAAAATCTGACGACAATGTTAATGAAAAGGCTGGAGCAGGGTTCTTCGCTTTGAACTTTATCTTAAAAGGTCGCATATCACCACGGAGACTTCGCGATGGTTGCACACCCAACAACGACAGCGAAGTTAGAGCTTTGAAGCTTCAAATAACTTTGAAAAAGAGTAACTTTGTGTTTACTTTAGTTCGAAACTTTGGAAACTTTAGCGATGATCTGGATGCGTACTGGAAACATAGAGTCGCAGTTTGTTCACAACAAGGGTTATGGCTGATATTCAATGGCCATGTAACGGAGACTTTAGGTCGACGATTCAAGGATTGGTACACGAATCCGACAAAATTCCTTCCTCATGAACCTTGGATGGCCGAGATACCCGCTGAAAGGAGCGAGAACGGGATCCAAAGATATGTTACACACAACGCAAGAAACAACTTTGGCTCAATGACAGAGTGGGAAATTGTGTTCAGCACCGCTGTTATTCATGATGTCGCAGCCTCAATCAAGCTAAACGAGCAATACTATCATTGGGATCGAACATATGAAGCAATTGTAAGGTATGTAAAGAATGATTATGTTCAACTTGGATTTGACATCCCAAGTGATGGGGAGTTGCCCTTCCCTTCAATTACTGGAGGGACTCGATTTCTGGTTAGATATGGGAGGTGCGTAACAGCTGAAGACTCTATTGCTGATTTGGAAAATCACAAAGACAAGATTGAAGCTGATGAAACCTCAAAGGTAGAAGATGATGAAGCCTCTTCAGGTACTACTGACATCACCAATAGCCAAGAAATTATTGAAACTAACGTGCCAGAGCAGAACAAAGGCGAGCAAGTCATCTATGGTTCCAGCGAAGGTAAGGTTGCCGTTCAGGACGTTGTCATTGACGGTATCAATAGCATAGAATGGACCGCTCAAGTTCTCGTGGCCGAGAAGAATAAGCAGTTCGTCATTTCTTTCATTATGCCTCATGGTAAGCAAAGAAAGTTTCACGTAGGAAGCAAAGTCGATGTTCAACTGAAGGTCTTGAACAATCACCTTGCTATGACACGGCAACTTAAAGCCATTGGTATGATTGCTGAGAATAAAGCTAAGGACGATACTTATGGACGAATCCTTCAAAGGTTCATACTAGGTGAAGGTATGGCTGATGTTAAAGATGATATTGAGGATCACCTTCGCTCGCAACGCTCCAACGAGTCAGAGAAGGCAAACCCGTCGCCGCAGAATGTTTTGTCAAAGAAGGAATCGACGAAATAGAAGAAGTGGTCAGAAACACCCATACCAAAATCATCATCTCCACGTGCAATAATTCTGCAGCGCTGCGCGATATGAGGTTCAAACCCCAGGTGTTGGTACTTGATGATGCGTCCGCGTCCAGAGAACCGGATTGTATTATCCCGCTTACGTGTGAGCAAGCTCATGTGGTTTTGTATGGAGAGGCGGTGAAGAGGACAGCGTGGCTGGGGGTTAAATCGTGGGGGAGTAATGAGTTTGCGGCGCAGTTGTCGAGGAGTCTCTTTGAGAGATTGGTTGGGCTGGGGAATATGAGGATGGTGCAGCTCGACCACATTGATTCGGCGGACCCGGTTATAGATGTTTATAAACCATAACTGGTTTTGGGACATTTAGAGGGATAGACTGTTGTGAAAAAAACTCATGTTGGAGCAGATGGAGAAGGATTTCGAGTGTTGGAAGGTTCGCTGGCGGTAGAAGGGTAAAATGAGGAGATGATGTGTGAAAGGAAAGATATTATAATTCATATTTTTGATCTCTGTGTTATAAGATTATACATAGTATTAGGCGAACATTCATCATACCCATCTCATCCTCATCCTCATCTCCATCTCACCATCACTTCCCCCCTTAATTAACAAAAAACCCATCCTCCTTCCCTCCATCCTTCGTTTCCACCCCAACATCCTTCCCAAACACCGTCCCCTCAAACCTCGGCACATCAAAAGTCCCCTCCGGATCCCTCCCCTCTCTCAAAATATATTCTCCAACTCTACTCCTACTCCCTCTAATCTCACCCAACCACCCCGTCATCTCCAACGCCACCTTTTTATTCCCCTTTGCTCCACCCTTAATTGCCGCTTCCATAACATGATACCTACTAACCTCATTCCTCAACATCATATCAAACGGCGTAGTCGTCGATCCCTCCTCCTTATAACATGCGATACTCATTCTCTCCAAATTTGGTCTCCCAAAAAGTAATCCCTTAATCTCATTACTGTACCCATGATAATTGAAATGAATAGGTTTATCCTCAGTAAACAAACTATTAAATTCCTCGCGGGTCAAGCTATGCGGGTGCAAGGTTTCCGCTTCCAGAATCATCAGATCCGTGACATTGACCACTCTGATTCTCAACTCCGGATACTTCTTACGGAGCAAGGCGGCGGCCACCACGACTTCAAACATGAGTTCGGAACCGATGCCTACGAGGACAACATCGGGGTCCAGTCCATCGTCCGTGCTGCAGAATCTCCAAATCGAAGCGCCGGCTTGACAATGTTTGTTTGCTTCTTCGGGACTGAGGAAGACGGGTTGAGGTTGTTTGGATCCCACCATTAGGTTGATGTAGTTGGTTGATTTGAGGCAGTGGGCGATTGTTGAGAGGAAAGTATTTGCATCGGGTGGTAAGTAAACTCTTGCAGCTGTGGGTTTGAGATTTAGGACTGCACCGATGAATGAGGGGTTTTGATGCGAGAATCCATTATGTTCTTGACGAGTCCATGTACTGGTTTCGATATAATTGAGAGATGAGAGGTCGGCTCTGAAACGAGTTTCTCGAGCCATTTTGTTGAATTTACTATATTGAACCATCATGGTATGAATTATACCAAGGAAAGATTCATAAGACGGGAAGATTCCAGTACGTCCGGTGAGAGTATATCCTAGAAATGATGAGTATGATGCAAAAGGAAAGACGAGAAAAATAGCTCATACCTTGAAGAAAACCTTGACATGTATGTTCACTAAGAATTTCAATAACCCTTCCGCCTTGAGCATGTGAAAATTCATCCCATTGAAAATCTCGTCCTGTATGCTTAAATACTGCGTCAAGTTTATTACTGACGAGTTCATCTGGAGAGAAAAGTCGAAGGGATTTTGGATTATCAACCAAAGTTTGATCAATAAGATCACCAATGGCTTTCATACAAGAAACTTCTGTTCCTTTTTCAACACCATACTTTTTCCAATCTGGTACTTTTAATACTTCATGGTTTTTGTATGTTTCTGGTCTCTGACCGAGTTTTTTATGTTCGGGTGGGATGATTGCCTTGACAGAGTCGACGACATCACCAGATTCCGTAAATAATTTCGCTGGTCCGTATGATAAAAGCCATTTTTGAAGATCAGCAAGTTGATCTTTATTTGATTTAACAGCCATGAGAGGAACTTGATGGGCATGGAATGACCCTTCAACATATTCTCCATCAACAATCTTTGGACCACTCCATCCTTTAGGAGTTCTCATGATGATTACTGGCCACTATGTGATGTTAGTATATATATATATATATATTTTGATTTAGCAATGGGGAAATTACTCTTGGTTTCATAATTGGCTTTCCAGATCTGGCAGCTTTTTGAATCTTACGAATTTCATCAATAGCCCATTGCATACTTGTTGCCATATCACGATCCTAATGTACGATTAGTATGATTTCCTCAACACGACTCTACAGCACAATTCTCCCAAGTTCCGAGGAGTCAACTTACGATATCTTCCAAGTCCTCAACAAATCGACATTGATATCCATAACCAGTAAATAAAGATGCCAATTCCTTATCATCCATACAACCGTATATCGTTCTCTCAGAAATCTTGAAGCCATTCACATGAACAATTGGAATAACCGCACCAGATTCCGCAGGATCAATGTATTTAGCTGCATGCCATGCGGTAGCTGTTGGACCCGATTCGGCCTCACCATCACCAACCACACACGCAACTACCAAATCTGGGTTATCCATCACAGCACCAAAAGCTACCGAGAGAGCATATCCAAGTTCTCCACCTTCATGGATCGAACCTGGAACTTCGGCACTGATGTGAGAAGGAAAGCCAGATGGTGTACTGAAACCAGTAATGAGGTTGTGAAGACCTTGCTTGTTGTTGGAATATTTGGGATAGAATTTTGCCAAGGTACCTTCTAACCAGAGGGAAGAAAGAATTGCTGGAGCTCCATGACCAGGTCCAACAACATATATCATGTCAAGATCATTCTTTTTCGTAAGATAGTTGAGATGAGCATAAACCAAAGTAAGACCAGGACATGTTCCCCAATGACCCAAAAGTCTTGGTTTAATATCATCAAATGTGAGATCTCTTTCCAGATAAGCATTATCGGAAAGGAAAATCATAGCTATGAAGATATTAGCTTGGGTATAGTGATATTGCTTTTGCATTGCTTACCAGCAGCAATATAATTGCTAGCTCTACGAAAATCCTCAAGTCCTCTTAAATCATCATCGGGGATTTGTAACTTTTCCAATTTGACTGCTAAATCATTGACCGTTGCCGAACCAGGTATATTGGAATCCAAAGCTTGAGGATTTGGTCTATCTATGATTTCTCCAGGCATATTTGAGTTTTTTGTGGGATGATTTTAGGGGGTGGGTTGAGGTTATTGTGGTTGCAATTGTAGTTGTGGTTGTTTGTGGTCGTGGTCGTGATAGTGGTCGTGATATCTTGATTTCGTTATTCGTGTCAATATATGTCGTTTACCTTGATATCAAGCAGACAATTCTATCTTGAAACCCAAGAGATAGAGTAAAGACAAGGAAAGCGTTGAGAAGAAGAAGAGAGATAAATTGATTATTTCAAATGTAGAATCTACTTGAGAAGAGTAAAGATCAATTGAAAAGATAAACAAAATAGCATTACCGCTCCTACTAATTCTCCAGAGACAAAACAAGCTCTCTGACTCTCCACTTCTTCCGTCTTGACAAAGAAACAGCTGCGTCACATCCATCATTCATCCATCATCATCATCATCATCATCATCATGATTATCCATCATACATACTGGGTATGTACATATCAACAAACTAACGATGCCGACAAATCCGATACGATACCAACACCTAGACTAGAGATGCATGCACCATTCAGCATCCACGGCCAAGGCCCAACTAGATGTGTCTTTCCAGCATTAAAAGGTTCTAGAAGGTATGGGTTTTGAGAGAAACACCGAGATTCCCATGCTCTCCATGAATTTTGATGCTATTTGATGCTATTTGATGCTATTTGATGCAATTAGTTTGTATTACCATAGAAGCTTGCATAAAAGTCTCATATTAGGTAGGAAGAAAGCTTGACGTTGGTATTAACGTCATACCCCTCTCTAATGGATGGAGAAAGGATGAGTTGAGTTATGGTAAATTGCTACAACATTTAGGATTTGATTGAGATCTGACCATCTTTATATATGGTAGAGATAGTAAATCAATTCCTCTCATCACAATCACAATCACAGTCGCTCCATAGAAAGAATGAAAGAAAGAATATATCCAAACATTTCCTCTTTCCAGATGAAACGGCGAATCCCCCCATCCCAACCATCATCCAAGATTTGCCAGCATCCATCGAATTCCCCTTCCCCTGTAATAAACTCAAATAACCAGACCTCCCCCCCTGTAAACACCCGCCCGTTCCCGATAATCCGGAAAAGCTTCTCAAGAGCTACCTGGGCATTCTTCTTCTATCCCCTGTAGCTTGGGCACATCACTAACTGTAAACCAATCGATAAGTGCCAATTCTCGGCTTCGATAAGCAATTCACGTACGACGCATGGCGGGGAACTTTGGGAACGTCATCTGTGCTGCTTGAGAATGATACGATTATGGGACGAGAGATGGAAGGAGATTGATGGTGGGATGATTTTATTTCGTGGATGTGTGTGTGTGTGTGTGTTTGTTTAGATAGAGGTAGGTATAGGTATACGTCTAAATGTTAAACTTGGTACTTTTTGCTTTTACTCTGCTTCATATATTTATTTGTAATGCTTTTTTTCTTTCTATCGCATTCATCAATATCGAAAGACGGCGAAACGGCGATTGGAGATTTAATCCATACATTTCTAGGACATCGACCAATTCACACATCTAGCTAGATACTCATTTACTACTCAACCATCCATTGGTGATCTTCGAAACTTCGAACTTTCACACACAATAAACCCCAAACCCCAAATACCTCCCTTCCACCATGTCCAAAATCATCCTCTCCATAAACGCCGGATCCTCCTCCGTCAAAATCTCCATCTTCTCCGCGTCCCAAGGGGACCCCTCCCCCAAACCCCTCGCCGAAGCCCAAATCTCGGGCCTCACCTCGCCACCGCCAACCTTCAAATACACTCGCGACGGAAAATCCATAACCAAGAACCAAAAACTCGACACCCAGATCCCCGACCAAAACTCCGCATTCCAATACATCCTCACCCAGCTCATCAACGACACCTCCTTCCCGCACATCACCCAGCTCTCTGACATCTCCCTCGCCAGCCACCGCGTCGTGCACGGCGGGGACTACCAAACCAGCCAACTCATCACCCGGGAAACGCTGCACCATCTAGAAACGCTCACCGATCTGGCTCCGCTGCACAACGCCTCCGCACTCTCCATCATCCAACACTGCATCATGCACCTCCCTTCCACCCGCAACATTGCAGTCTTCGACTCGCAATTCCACGCAACGATTCCAGAACACATCTCTACCTATCCCATTGATCAGGAAATCGCAAAGAAGAACGGGCTGCGGAAATATGGTTTCCACGGAATTTCCTATGCGTTTATCACGCGCAGTGTAGCGGAGTTTTTAGGGAAGAAGGAAGAGGAGACGAATATTATCGCGTTGCATTTGGGCAGTGGAGCCAGCGCGTGCGTGGTCAAGAATGGGAAGAGTTGGGATACGAGTATGGGGCTGACGCCGTTGGCGGGATTGCCGGGGGCGACGAGGAGTGGGAGTTTGGATCCGAGGTGTGTAATTTTCTATTTCTATCTCTATCTCTATTTGTTCATCTGCCCCTCCATATATTTCCCCTTCCCCTTCCCCTTCCCCTTTCCTCTACCCCGCTCTCCAATCCCCCACCCCACCACTCCCTAGCTAACTCCCTCCCCCTCTAGTCTCGTCTTCCACTACGCCACCAACGTCGGCAAGCTCTCCCCCAACTCCACCTCCTCCCTGCACATTTCCCGCGCGGAAGAAATCCTCAACAAAGAATCCGGTTGGAAATCTCTCACCGGGACCACCGATTTCGGCACTATCACCTCTTCCTCCTCCGATCCCACCATGAAACTCGCATTCGACATCTTTGTCGATCGAATACTCTCCTACATCGGACACTATTACATATCTCTGCATGGAAATATCGACGCGTTAGTTTTTGCAGGGGGAATTGGAGAGAAGAGTGATGTTTTGAGAGAGAGGGTGGGTGAGGAAATTAGGTGTTTGGGGTTTGAGATTGATGGGGAGAAGAATGCAAAGGAAATGGAGGGAACGGTGCAGGAGATTGGGAAGGAGGGGGCGAAGCATCGTATGTTGGTTTGTAAAACGGATGAACAGTTTGAGATGGCGAGACATTGTGTGGTTGATGAGGGGCTTTTTGGGGAATGAGAGGAGTGGAGATGAGGGGAGTGAAGTGATTGCGCGCTGCGAATATTGGGAAGTGGGTTTGGAAGTAATGAAGTCATGGAATATCTAACAGAAACGAATGCACGTATCAATGAAGAAAATAAAAGGAAGAAAGGCAGAAAGTAAATGAAAACCAATTTTTTGAGAAAAAATTAAAAATCTAAAATACCATGCTCGCTACGCTACACGCTCCATGGGTATATCTACAAAAAGATGAGAAGAGTACTATGATCCTCTATTTTGTACCGCGCCATAAACATCCAAGCCTAATAATAATAATATGTTTCCAGCGCCACTAAGCAAGCCATACGCTCACAAGAATATCAAGAAATAATTTCAATGCCATCATCACAGTCCTCCCGTCTTCAAATTATCCATCTCTTCATATAGTTCGATCCGACCTTGGATCTCCACTCATCAGTATACCCAGAACAATCAATCTCCACGTCACCCATCCGAATTTCTACTATCATCCAATAAAAACCGGCATTCTACTCCCCTTCAAATCAGGCGGAACACCACATTTATCATCTTTATTCCAATCATGCAATAAAAGCCAACACAACATTCTAAACATAAGCGAAACCCAGATGACATTCCTCTGTTCCTTTTCCGAGGAACTAGGTTTCTTCCCATCAATCTCACATTCCGCGACCGCGGGTCGAATCTCATTAAAATATATTTTCAACAAAGGTTCTTCCTTTTGGACAGAAACAATGGAATTTAAAGAGGAATTATGGTCCTCGAGGATTTTCGTTACTTCACTCAAATGAGCAACGACGACTTGAAGAACGTCTTTTTGTCTGAGTTTGTGAAGGAGGTACTCTGTTTGGTCGTCTATGGCATCGTGGATCATTTCGCGCTCTTCAATGCTAAGATTGTAATCATCGATTTCCTTTCCGGGACGAAGAGATTGGATATCCTGCCATTTATCAAGGATTTTGCCGAAGAGATCAAGACTGGAAGTTGCACCGACATCGCTTTCTTTTTGGTAAAGGCCCCTAAGCTTCTCCTGAAAGATGGTCATGAGTTTTGAGACTTTCCAAGCGGGTTTTGAACCGGCTTTTTTCAACCAAGGATCTTGAGTTGGGTTGGGAATCATTCTGAAATTGCTTCTACGAATTCGAGTTACCTTCCCGAGCATGCCGATGATTTCAAAAGATACTATGCAAACAATTAGCTATACATTTATAGTGAGAATAAGAGTGAGACTTACCCGAGAAAATGTGTCTGTGATCTTTCCTATACCTCTTAAGTATGTCAGGTGTACAGCCAAGTGACTCCAAGGTCAATTCCACATCATCTTCACTTCCAAACTTCAATTCCAAACTTTGGGACTCCGTATCCACCTTTTCTAAGTAGTCCTTCTCCTCAAATATATTGGGGACAGTCCCAAAGCATAATGCCTTGACGTCATTCGATGGAATGACACGATCTTGTTTGAATTCAGATTTTCCCGTAACAGTGAACACGACCATAACACCCAAACCATGGACCGTCGTCGAGGTAAGAATGAAACCATTACCTTCAGCTCTGAGGTTCCATTGTATTTGATCAAAGACCTTCCAATACATTCCCAATAATGCCATCATTTCTACCAGATGACATATAGCAGATGTAGCATACGGTTTAGTCATACTAGCTGGGACGAAATCCCAAGACCGAGTTTTGACCTGTAAACCCACAGCTAATTCGTACTTTGGAGGATCTATCGCTTGATGTCCATTAAGTGGTGGTCTAATCGATCGAGTGCCCTCGTCCCATGTTCGCGATTCTAACTCCTCAGTTTGTAAACTCGATAACAACGTAACCCAAGAAGCCCGTTCATCATCCGCCGTATGAATCCGTTGAGTAGATTCGTCATCTTTCTTTTTTTGATCATCCCGTTGGCGAACTTTGGTATTCTTGTATGATTCAGCGGTGCCATCGATATAATGAATTGGTTTATTC